ATAATTATATAAAAATATACATTAATTGATCATTATTATCTAAGAAAGTTATATTTAAAGTACTATTAAGATAAGAAAAACTCGATTATAGTACATTTTTTTGATAGAAAAAAAGAAGAACAATATAACAAATAGTATATCTATGTATACAAATAAGCTTGATCTAAACATAAATATCCTGTATGTTTATGGTTTTTTTTGTTGTTGTTTTGTTATATTCGTTTGGGTAGTTGATTCTTCTATTGGTAAATGTGAAATAACATCACCAATATTTGTTTCAAGTGTATCAATTCTTTTGCCTAATTCATTCATACGATTCATAACTTGATCGCTTGCAACCATAAATTTTTCTTCCATTTGTTGGAATATTGTATTTACCTAATAATTAAATTATTCCAAGTAAATATTATCATTATAATATAAACTTACATATGTTGTTAAACCATTAATATTATCAAAATCAGAAGGTAGAGATGAATTATTGTTATTATTCGATGCGGTTGAAGATGATGATGATGAAACTGTTCGCATGTCAGTCATTTTTGTATATAAACTCAATGCTTTTTTTGTGGTGACTACGTAACAGAATAAGAAGGAATAAATGGTCGATCTTTTTCTCGCTTCGCTTTTTTTTCTGCTGCTACTATTTGACAGACATTTAGTTGTTCAAACCAATAATGAAGTCAACAGACGTCACTAGTTAACATCAATATTCTCTGAGGGTAATTTGACTTATCCACTCAAGACAACTTACATGACAAACGATCGTATTATCGTTTCTTATGTATTTTTTTATGCTTCATGCGTAGAATATTTCTTCATTATTCTATTTAAAACATCACTAAAATTTGCGAGCAATCTGAGTTTTTACGACCCAAAATATTTGTTCTGATAAACGAAATATCTTTCTTCTTTTTTTTTTTACAAATGACACACGCGTATAAATACCAACGATATATATATATATCAATCGCATGTTCTTAATAAATTGTTTGAGAATAATATGAAGTACAAAATGCATTAAATTATTAATATACTCATTGAGACATATTTCAAGTAGTTCTAAAACTTATCCTTCAAATATTTATTCATTTTCTAAATTGATTTCATGATAAACACATATGGACAAAATCAAGGTAAGTTATACCCCCTACTATTTTTCTTGTATATTACTCGTACAAGGACTTTTTCTTTACATAGAACTCTCTTTTATTTGAAAATTATTTTATTCTTATAAACATTAAATAAATGCTTTTACCAAATCTTTCGAAATATCTGTTCTTCTACTTAACCTTTTCTCATTGTCTGTATGCATAATCATCTTAAGGTGTCATTATCTCAGTTATTGTCATTAACTTTTAAGTGATGATGGAATTGCGCTCAATATATGTATGGAATGACAGGATCAAGGTTAACATCAATCTTATTAAATTTTTCATTACAAACAAAAGATAGATTATTTTCGAACTGAAGATATAGCACTAGAGTAAAATCAAGGTAAATAGAATCGTTTAATACTTCAAATAAGAAAAATATCATGTATCATGATGATAAAACCATATTTGTCTCTCGTATGTGCTAGTTCTCATTCATGTAGAGACAACAAGATTGGTGTCTTTAATAGATTTCTTTTCTCTTTTTTTTTTGTCTTTCTATCTTATTTTATTTCTATGCATCCATTCTCTTTTTTTGTGCTTTTGCAGCTGCTTACCCTTTTTTTCACCTCTAACATTGTGTGTGTCTATAAATATGCGGTTTGTTTTTTTTGATTTTTATGCTATCACTTTTATCATAGATTCTTTCGTTTATTTCCTAGCCTCCTCCTGCGTATATTACTTCGTTCCCCTTCATCGATATGATAATAATAATTAACACATTTTTGTTTCCCGAAGAATTTTTTTTTGTGAAAGATCGTTTTTTTTTTGGCATTGTTGTTTTGTTTATGGGTAAGCAGCATTCATTAATTGTCATCTCTAGTTTGTTGTTAGTCATAAATCACTTAATCTATACATTATCTTCATGTTTTTTCTTATCGTTATGATTAGGTAGTAGTTTTAATCATGCATTTTCTTTTCTCTTGACAGTCTGCGTCAAATTACCTCTGCTATATACATATCTAACTATTATAGAACTACGCATCTTTACACAGACTATGTATATAAATAAAGTATATGAACCATTCATTGTGTTTATGTATGCCGGCATTAGTGTTGATGAAGATGATGACGGATACGTAATCAACTTAGTTGTATATATACATATATATATATGTTATATGTGCGTGTGTGTGATATAAGTGACGAACAGTCAGAATGGCAGATCAAAGCACGCCCATGAGAGACTACATGTGTGCATAATACAATTTGCTAGTATTGTGAGTACATTTGCATGTCTTCCTATTGTTAAGTGTCCCATTGAACACGGAGGAGTAGCAATATAACAGATTGTTACTACTGCTGATGCCTGTCTTTTTGTCTGTTAAAAATACGTGTGTCTATGCATATTTGTCACGTTTGTACGAAAAAAAAAATCGTTCGTTGATTGTGTTTATGTGGATAAAAGTCGAAGGAATAGGGGAGCACAAGAGAAAAGAAAGAAGAAAAAGAAAAAGGTTAACGTATTGCAACCACCAAAGAGAAAATTTCTACAAAGAAGAAGAATGTAAACCACATATGTAGAATGATGATATGTCAGAATCTAAAATAAAGAGGTAGTCACAAGAGAGTATATTGCTGTGGCATACCGAGTAACAGCAGGAGTAGTCATCATTATATTCACGTATGCTATTACTATTGTCAGTTTTTTTTTTCTCTCATTTTTTTTCTTATTGCTTTTCCTTCGTATAATACTAATCGACCGTATCTTTTTGTTTTCAGTATTTTTGCATCCTTTCAATATCTATTTGATTCATTCATTATTACATCATTATATTATTTCAGATTAGAATACGAATAAAACAAAGGACAACAAAGATCAAATATGAAGGTCAGCGTATTAGTTACACTTATTGTTTTACCGATGCTTGCATCAATTGGTCTGTATTGTTATGCGTTTATAAGTACACGTTGGAGTTCTATTGATGAAGACTTAATTAATCGATATAGTGAAATAAATGATCGACAACGTTCTCAATCAACTACAAAATCTTATAATAATACTAATATTCAATTACAATCACAATCAATTCGACATGCATTTCGTTCACGTTACGGTTTATTTGGATATTGTTTAGATTATCGATGGATTAATTTACTTGCACCTAAACCAATAAGAAGAACAAATGAAAATCTATTGACAACAAAACCCGTATTTTTTTGTGATCGATGCAATCAACCAATACTAGAATGTCCTGAAACAGGATGTTGTGTAAGTTTAAAATAGTTTTTTGTTATGATTGTATTATTTTTTTATTATTTTCTTTAGATGAAACGATGTGATTCTATACCTGATTGTCCATCATATATCGATGAAAAAGATTGTAATCGTCCATATAATGAAACACGTTATTTTTGGCCAGAAAAACATTGTATTTGGAAATCAACATGGATTGGTAATCAACCAATACCACGTTATGAATTATCCTATAAAGATTCACCAAAAGAATTTCATTACTATATGAAACGTATGCTTTATTATATTATGTTTCTGTTATTTGTTGCTGCACCATTATTAACATGTGTTGCATTATTAATTATATTTTGTATAAATTGTGTTCAACGTTTTTATTCAATTCCATTTGCATTTGTTAGTTTCATATCGTTAGCATCATTTTTAAGTGGTGCTGGTGCAGTCGGAATATTTTTATATGAATGGGTACAAGAACGTTTGCATCGACCTGATTTTACTTATGATTTAGATCAAGCTGAAGCATTAGTTGTTGCCTTTAATCCATGGCTTGTTAATGTCGAACGTTTAGGTTTAGCTTTTTGGTTAGTAGTTGCTGCTGTTGGTACAACATTATTTACAACAATACTTAGTTGTTGTTTTTGTTGTGGATTACAATCAGAAAAATCGAAATTACGTTTTCATGTTGATAATGAAGTTTATGAAATTGTTCAAATGGCACCTTATGATGAGTGAACAATCATTGATTTATTTAACTTAGGAGCTTTTTCTTTTTCATTTTCTTTTTTTTTGTACCTTGTAATAAAAGAAATATTGTTTAGATTAGTACCTTTCTTTTTCTTCCTTATAGAGAAAAAAAAACCATATTATTAATAGCTACCGGTGATTTAATGCAACTTATAGGCTTTTGTCTAAACCTTTATCTTGTCTTATTTTTCACTGAATTAGTCTGTAATATAATCTTCAAATTTTTAATATTATTATTGCAGTATTTGATTCAGTTCATTTTCGTTTTTGTATAAATTTACACTTTGTATTAAAGATTATAAAATGAATGAACAAATGTTTATTTAACTTCAATCGAAGAATTTGATACGAAATATGTATATAGGAAAGAAGTAAATTACTTTATCACTTGATCGGATACATCCTATAGACATAACGAAAGCATTCGATTACAGATTAAAATCGTTGATTTCAAAAATAAGTACCATTTATGTCATGTTTATTCATTCTCTAAAGTGATTCTTTGCATTACCGTGTATGTCGTCATCTTGTTTTTCTTTTGAAATGATGTTATTGCATCATAATCGACTAACGTAAGTATTTATTATAAAAGAAGAGGAAGAAAATAACATTTCAATGTGATATTTACCATGGCAATAACATATGATAAACTTTTTTTTCAAGCGTTTAACTGTTTACCAAATCAATCAAAAACATTAGAAGAATATTCAAAAGATGAACTTATAAAATTAATTAATATATTAAAAGATGGTATTGATTCATTCAATAAGACAACTAATAAAAATGAAGAAATATTACACGATGAAAATAAAGATTTTGGTTTAGGTATTGTTGCAGAAAATCAAAATGATTTACAAATATTTCAAGAATTTTGCACAAAAAATTTTGTACCTATTTCAAAAGAAAACTGTCATATTTCATCTGTATTTAATCAAAATATGATTGATGCTTATCTGAATACAGGTATTAATCATTTTCGTAGTGAATATGCAATGTTTATTATCTTAAAAAATGTACAATTTGATGAATTATTACCATTAACTATTCAACAAGAATTTACTCGAAATAATAAATTATATAAATATCAAATGCAAATTCTTATTCAGAAAAACGATGAAACAAATGAAGAACTTCTTAGTAGAATTTGTGATCAACTTGTTGGTGAAATATTTTTTATTGATCATGATGATCATGAATCTATTCCATCATTACCTGCTCCAAAACAACCACAATTTGTATCGATTTTCCCTCATAGTCAAATTGCTTGTTGGCCTTTACCAGCTCGACGTGATTTGAATAGATTTAAAAAGGACCTGGGTGTCACTCATATATTATCATTACTAAATTCGAAAGAAATTAGTAACTCTAAAATCTGTAATCTTATTGAAACACACGGTATTATATCAATACATTTACCTATTCAAGGTGCTGATCTTCCTGTATTTACATCATCACAAGAAACAGTTGATATACTTATTGAAAAATTACCATTCATTCGTGATCTTCTCTTGAATAGTACAGAAACAGCACCTGTTAAAATGATTATTCATTGTGCAGCTGGTTTACATCGGACTGGTACTATTACATATTTATTACTAAGACTTTGTGGTTTTACTCGAGAAACAGCGTTATTAATCGTTAATAGAACAAGAGCAATAACAGCAAGACAAGTTGGAAAGAAAAGAATAGATGCAGCAGAATATAATCTCATGAAACATATTCCATAAGACTTGGGTTATCGTTATTATACAAAAAATTGGAGTAAAATTTCATCTGTTTTGTTATCGATGTGAATCAAATCAATAGTCAATGTTTCTGTTATACTTTTTTTTATACGAAATAAAATCTACAAATATATCATCCAATCAATCATGCAAACACTGAGAAGGTTTTTAAGATGTAAAATTCAAATTTAATGAGTCAAAATAATAACAAAAAAAACGGAAAGAAAAAAACTGATAGAATGAATGCTCATATATATACTGTTTTTTTTTACATCTTTTCTAAGTTCGGTGTTTGTATAAAAAAGCAAATAGTGGGAATAATATATCTATGAACCAAATGTAATTCCAGCACTAACATAAACATTATAAATTTTCTCAATAGCATTTACATATGCTGCTGTACGAATATCAAGACCAAGATTATAACGCATTGCTGTTTGCATTATAGCACGTGCTGCCTTTTCCATGGTTTGTTCAAGACCAGAATGTACGATATCTTTTTCTGATGCACCAGCCATACGTTTTAAAAATTCATCACTTGGGTGCTTGAAGAAAAAATATGATGAATTTTTATTGAAATAAAAAATTTTCTACTTACAATTGGAATCTTTCCACCCATACGACCGAATTTAGATTCTAATGAACCTTGAACTGATTCTATTGTTATATATAAATGAGAATAAATATACAAATTAAATAGAGAAAAAGATGAACATTACCAAGTAATGAATAATTTGTATCACGTTGGTATTTAAAGGTTAATCGACCATAACTAACATGACTTAAATTTTTTAACCATTCAAAATAAGATACTGTGACACCACCAGCATTGATATATAAATCTAAAATAATAGATAAAATCGATAATTTGGTTTTTTTTTTTTAATTTATTGAATATACCTGGAATTACGAGAACATTATTTTTTAATAATATAGCATCAGCTTCAGGTGTTGTTGGACCATTAGCACCCTAAATATGAAACATAAGATTGGAATTTTTTCCTACTTAGAAAATTAAAATAATTTACTTCAGCAATAACTCGAGCTTTAATACGATCAGCATTGTCTGTCGTTATTTGTCTTTCACTGGCTGCTGGTACAAGAATATCACATGGCTCACATAATAATTCTTCTTTTGGTTGTTTTTCATATGGTTGAGCACCGGGGAAACCTTTTATTGTTCCATGTTCAAGTTTATAATCTTCAAGTGCTTTTGGATCAATTCCTTCTTGATTAACAATGGCAGCATCCCATTCTAATACACCAACACATTTTGCACCATGTCGTGTTAAATAACGCATTGAATGAAGACCAACATTACCAAAACCCTTAAAAAATAATATTTTTAATTTTGAATAGAATTTTTTTTTATTATTATTCATACTTGGACAATAAATGATTTACCAGCAAGACCAGGTAAAAGACCAACCATACCCCTAAATAAATTGAACATGATAAAACAACCTCACGAAAAAAAATGATTTCTTACATGAATGAAGCTTCATTAACAAAATTATCTACACCATGATATAAACCACGGCCAGTTGCTGATGTTCGACCATGAATACCTCCAACAAGGATTGGTTTACCGGTAACACAACCATATGCATGAATATCTTCCCAACCAACTGTTGATGCATATGTATCAGCAATCCAAGCCATTTCACGTTCACCTGTACCCATATCTGGAGCTGGTACATCAATACCGGGACCAATAAAACCTTTCTTAGCTAATTCAACAGTTAATCGTCGTGTTATACGTTCTAATTCTCCTTCCGACCAATCTATAACAAAAATATTAAAATATTGTTAGAATAAAAACATAATTTCATTTTTACCTTTAGGATTAATCTTAACACCAGCTTTGCCACCACCAAATGGTACATCAACACAAGCACATTTGTATGTCATTAAAGCTGCTAACGCTTTGACTTCATCTAAATTAACATCTAATGAATAACGTATACCACCTTTACATGGTGTTCGATGTTGTGAATGTTGTGCACGATAGGCTTCAATCATATGTAATTCTCCATTATCTTTACGTATAGGAAAACGTATTTCAAGTACATGATTGCAGGGTTTAATAATTTTTAATATTCCTTTAACTTTTTTACGTTTTGCATCATCAGTTAATTTTGTTTTTACCATATCATCAACTAATTTATCTTCAAGAATTTTAGCTGCACGATCATAAAATAATTCAACTTGACGATAGAAACCAAAATGTCCTGGTCCAGCTTGTTGATGTTGTGTTGTTGTTGCTGCTCCTCCATGAGATGAAGAATTTAATATAGATGATGTGCTATATGAAAGACTTGAAAGTCGATTTAGTGATTTATTAGCACGAAGAGCGACGTTCAACATTGTTTTATTTTATCTAAAAATCAAAATATGTTTTCTTTCTATAGGTTTTAAAAACATCGGAGAAACAAAAAAAAAAAGATCAGAAGACTTGGACTTTTTTCTTTCATACTCATTAAACACCAAATGTCATTCCAGCGGCTGAATAGACATTGTAAATTTTTTCTAAAGAAGTTACATAAGCGGCAGTACGTATATCTAAACCTAAATTATGACGTTGAGCTGTTTTCATTATTGCAAGTGCTGATCGTTCCATAGTTTGTTCAAGACCTGAATGAACAATATCAACTTCTGAAGCACCTGCCATACGTTTGTAAAAGTTGTCACTTGGAATCTAAAATAAAATAAAATTCGTTTACAAAAAAAAGTATCTTTTAAATTATTTACAATAGGAATTTTTCCTCCCATTTTTCCAAATTTAGCTTCTAATGAACTTTGTACACTTTCTAAATAACAAAATCAATCAATTAATTGAATCAACTAAATTAATTAATATTTACCAAGAAGTGAATAATTAGTATCACGTTGATATTTGAATGTTAATCGACCATAGGATGTATGATTGAGATTTTTAAGCCATTCAAAATATGATACAGTAACACCACCAGCATTCTTTATTTGAAAAAAAACACATGTATAATATAAACAAATATTTTTTTTATACGAAAAAAATAAAATTACTTACAATATACATATCTGGAATAACTAAAATATTTTTTGATAAAAGAATTTTATCAGCTGCTGGTGTTGTTGGTCCATTGGCACCTTCAGCAATAATCTATTTAATAGTTTATTATTATTATTATTAAAGAAAATTCTATTCATATAATTTACTTTAGCTTGAATACGACGAGCATTTCTTGATGTAATTTGTTGTTCACTAGCAGCAGGTACAAGAATATCACATGGTTCATAAAGCAATGCGAGTTTATCTTCTTTTTCATATTTTTGAGCGCCAGGAAAACCATTGATTGTTCCATGTTCAAATTTATAATCTTCAAGTTCTTTTGGATCAATACCATCTCGATTAAATATACCTCCATCATATTCAAGTACACCGATACATTTAGCACCGTGTCTTGTTAAATAACGTGAGGAATGGAGACCAACATTACCGAAACCCTATGCAAAAAAAAGAATTGTGTAATAATTTAGTTTTCTGTTTAGAATTTTTTATATACTTGAACAATAAATGTTTTTCCAGGTAAACCAGTTGTCAAACCAATTTTATCCATATAAAATTTTTCATTTATAAAATTATTTACACCATGATATAAACCACGGCCAGTTGCTGATGTTCGACCATGAATACCACCTTGTAAAATAGGTTTACCAGTTATACAAGCCATTGCATTAATATCTTCCCAGCCGACTGTTGATGCATATGTATCCGCAATCCATGCCATTTCACGTTCACCTGTACCCATATCTGGAGCTGGTACATCAATACCGGGTCCAATAAAACCTTTCTTAGCTAATTCAACAGTTAATCGTCGTGTTATACGTTCTAATTCTCCTTCCGACCAATCTATAATAATAATAATAATATTAAAATATTTGTTATTTATTTTTTTGTGTTTACCTTTAGGATTAATCTTAACACCAGCTTTTGCTCCTCCGAATGGTACATTGACACAAGCACATTTAAAGGTCATTAGAGCTGCTAATGCTTTGACTTCATCTAAATTAACATCTAATGAATAACGTATACCACCTTTACATGGTGTTCGATGTAATGAATGTTGTGCACGCCATGCTTCAATTAATTCCCATTCACCATTATCACGTCGAACAGGAAATGTAATAGCCAAAACATAATTTGGTGGTTTCATCATAGTTAAAACACCTTGAACTTTAGTAAGTTTTTGTTGATCAGTTAATTTCGATTTTGTCATATCGAGAACTAGTTTATCTTCAAGAATTTTAGCTGCACGATCATAAAATTTTTCTACCATAGTATAAAAACCAGTTCTATAAGTTAATTCATTTAAATAGAATTTATTAGTTTTAAAACAATAATAAATTTTCATACCCTTGATCTTCTTGTTGGTTTTCACTATCTAGCTCCATAGTTTCAGGTGTGGAGTCTGTTGCTGTTGATTGTAGAGAACGTGTAAAACGAAAGACATGATTAAGTCCAGTATTTAATTTTAATGATAATGAGTGGCCAGACGCGGCTCGTGAAAGGATCGACATATCTGAAAATTAAATGAAAATATATAATATATCTTCGACTATTTATTTGCGTCGAAAGGGGTGTGTATATATCTTTGTTTTTTCTTTCCTATTCTATCGAGTCCTCAATAAAATATAGTCGTTGTTTATGGTAGAAAAAATGGAGGCTTTATAGAAGTACTAACAGTATGCTTTTCGTTCGTTATATAGAAGGGTAACATGATAGATAGTATTAAACGTTTAACGCACGACGAATATATTTGCCATTAGGAAGAAAAATAGAGAAAGAAGAACGCGAGCAAACATTCTGCGGTCCATCACGCCATCAATTGTCGTCATTTCGATAGTTTCTACATATGGAAGGATGTTGCGCTTTGTTTTTCTCTTTCTTTTCAAAATGTATATACCACGAAAAAAAAATATATATATAAAGGCGTCAGATATAAGGCAATAGATAAAAAAGAAAATCAGTAGAAGGGCAAAAGTAAGGGGTCCGTTGCATCTTTTGTTTTATCAAGGTGATAAAAGCAAAATATTATTTTATTTGAGAACATTTTTCATGCGTCTTAATATTGAGTATAAACATTAACCGATATATATATTTTAATAAAAAAAATTTATAATCAAATTGTTTTAATTGAAGTACTCAGAACATGATCGAAAACATCAGTGATTTTGATTATTATTAGCTACTACATACAGTATTTAATTCGTTATAATAATATAAACTCATCACATCTCATTGAATGTTAATCGGCCATATCTAGAAAAGATATTGTTAAAGTGTTGTTGATTGATAGACTATTTTCTTTCAATTTTTAAATATACTAATGAATAATAATCATTCTCTTTTATCTAAATATGAATGTCTGATATTGTCTCTAGTCAACATTGAAATAATTCAACAAGATATCATAAAATTGTTCATTGATCAATGTACGACATCTATGTGTAGATGAAAAAATTTAATTAATGAATTATGTCATACTTTGTATCCTTTGCTGAAAATTAAAAAACATATATAAATATTAATTTATCCAAATTTTCTTCTTATAAAAATTATATTTTTTAATTGGTTTAGTTTTACTACAGTAGCATAGTGAGTTGTCTTCGTTTTCGTTTTCTTTCTGTGTAGTGTTTGTTCTTTCATCGTTCGTTCGTCTTCTTTGGTTTACATTTCTCATTTCATTGGTTCGATTGCTTGAATATGATCATCATATCAATGTAAAACATATTATTTCTTTTTACTATTTTAGATTTTATTGTCTGTCTAGTGTCCTTAATCGATAATATTAAAAGAGCGTATGGTAGGTGATACGATGAGCAATAGTGGAATAGATAAACAACATATTATTCGTGCAGATGAAGGCGAAGAATATATTGTAGATCGTATTGTTAGTCATCGATTTCGTAATGGACGAAAAGAATATTTACTTGCCTGGAAAGGTTATCCTGAAGAAGAAAATACATGGGTAAATAGATATTTTTTAATTTTTATCTCAAAAAAAAATAAAATTTTTTAGGAACCACACCAAAATTTAGATTGTCCAGATTTAATTGACGAATATGAAAATCGTATCTTGCAAAAACCTCGTTTTATCAATGAACCGTCAACATCACTCAAACGTAAATCATCATTAGATCAAGCACCACAACAAAATAAACGAGGACGACCACCAAATGATTCATTAGGACATAGAAATTATTCCAAACAACAAACATCATCTTTACATACAGATGAAACATCTGCATTCGATCGAGGATTAGAACCAGAAAAAATTCTTGGAGCTACTGATGCAACAGTAAGAAATTTATTTGACTAAATATTTTGTTATTACTTTTCTTCTAAGGGTGAATTAATGTTATTAGTTCAATGGAAAGGTACAGGTGAAGCTGATCTTGTTCCAGCACGTATATGTAATATTAAATGTCCACAAGTTGTTATAAGATTTTATGAAGAACGTTTAACATGGATAACAACACAACAACAAACAACAAACGATACTAATAATAATAGCACAGATAATAATGGAACATCACAGCAAACCAATACAAATCTCATTGAAAATGATAATAATCAAACGACATTATAAATATGAGTTTTTTTGTATAATAATGTAAAGGTTTTTCCTCCTTTTTCTTTTGTTGAACACAACATACCGGCTTTTCTTTATAGAAATGAAATTTTTCTATACTTAGAAACTTACACTATACTTATCTCATGTTCTTATATATATATATATACACATATTGTGTTTTACGTGTATATGTTATTAAATACGTTGTTTACTTTTTTTTATTTACATTTCTGTGATAAAAAAAAATCATTGAAGAAAGCAACACAAATAAGAAAAGAAAATTCCTTGCTGGATTGCGCGTTCACTAGAGTTTCGTCAGGAGTCGAACCTGACCAACAGTTTTTAGAATTGTGCAATTACTATCAGTATTTGAACTATAGTGAAGTATTAAGTCAAATTATTTGCAACTCATGATTTCTTATTGAAAACTTTAGAGTGTTTCTTGTGATAAAAATAAAAGCGAACATTTTTATTTAAAAAGTTCATCACAGCGTTGCGTAATGGAATATCTTCAAAACTCTTTGACACTTAACATCGAATACAAAGGAATTTATTTTATAGAGTTACATTTGAACTCTTGACATATGACATCATTTCAAATACAATATACCGAAGATGGTATTTATAGAAAACGACGATTTGTTAGAATATCTTGAACATGCATATATTTAGAATGATAAATATTTATTGATCATGATATCAACTTTATTCATAACGCATTAACTCAACATAAATAACAACTTAATTTCTATCACCGAATAAAAAAACACACGCATTAAAAAGTTTACATTAAATAAACAAATAAAAGCGAAAAAATAAGAATAATAAAAATAACGAAAAAATTGATTTACAGATCTTCATCACTAATATCTTCTTGTCGCAAGAGTTGATAACGTTTATTGGTATTTTCATTATTTACATTCATTATTCCTGTTATATTATCAACGGTTGTCTTCCATGAAGGTACAGTGATTTCATCTGTTGTTGCAATCGAAGTTTCATGATGATCAGATGTTGCTTGCTAGAAAAAAATAAGTTAAAACTATAACCTTGTTCATTTCTTGAAAGTGGACCCATGCAAAATAATAAGAAAAAATTATAATTGAATCAGCGGATTAGCATAATACTCAAAGGCTAGATCGTCGTCGACTTGTTCGTACAGATACAGATGAGGTCGTCTCCTACAAGATGAATATATTTTCTTACGCATTCAAATCCTACCATGTCACCTTTCTCATTCAATGAACGAACAAATGCTTACCTTTAATTCACGACCTTTTGTTTCAATTGGTAATAAATATGAACATAGTGCTGCTACAGCTGTTGCTGTTACATAAACAGCAATAGTTCCATAAAAAGTTTTTTTTATTAAAACTTGAGCTAAAAATGGTGTAATCATAGCACCAACTCTTGCCATTGATGATGCAGATCCAATAGCCATAGCACGTATCACAGTTGGATAGACTTCCATTGTATATAAATATATTAAACCATATTGTGCATTAATAAACATTCGCGTTACAAATGTAATCGAATTGATCATCCATGGTTTTCCTTGTGACATTGAGAATAATGCAAAACAAATAGATGCACATGAATAATTTATCATACATGTTGTACGACGACCACAATATGTAAGACAAAGTAATACTAAAGGAATGCCAAACATTTCACCAAATGTTGTAAATATTAATGATTTGTAATCATCGGTTGTTAAAGGTTTACAATGATTTACTGGACTAACTGTAATTGTGTCTATAATTGGTTTAGAATCATTCGGAAGTAGTGTCATTATAGATGTATTAATTAATATTAAACCATAATAACTCATTGATACAGTCATCCACATAAATGCAAGTAAAAATGTTGTACGTTTATAATTTTTATGAAATAATTGTTTAACAGAACCACATTCATTCTAGATATTTTCAAAAAAGCAAAAAAATTTTATTATCTGAATAATATTTTTTTTTTCTATGAGACTAACTTGTGCATTGGTATCACGAAGTTTTCCTGGTGGAAGTGAACGATTATTAGTTAATGCAATTGATTTTAAAATATGTTCAGCTTTTTCAGTACGACCACAAGCAACATAATAACGAGGTGATTCAGGTACGAACTAAATTTTAAGACAAAAAATAATAACGAATTTATTGTGCAAAAGAAAAACAGAAAGAGATACTTACATACATACATATAGCAACAATTGATATTGGTAGAGCAGAAAGACCTGTTAATATTCGCCATCCATATGTTGGAACAATATACATAGCTAGAACATATTCAAAAATACTACCAATGGACCAAAATAATTCGATAACAATTGTAATTGTTGCACGTGTACTTGATGGTAAATATTCAAGCATTAGTGTTGAACTGAAATAAAAAATTTTCTTTTAAGATTAATTAATCAATAAGGTACAGAGCTATAACAATCATGTTTTTTTTTGTATGTGAAGAAATAAAATTTAGCGTAAAACTATTACTTATTGTATTATTTCATTTTGGATGCTAAATAAAAATATAGAAATGGATCTAAATCTGCAGTAGATACTAGTACATTATTCCGAATAGCGACAATTAGGTCATTTTTTTGCTATGCATAAATCTTTTTTGGGAAATATTAGTAGAAAAAAATAAACTATGTACTTTTACTTACCCTTGAGAAGCTCCTGATAATGCAAACCCAACACAAATTCTTGCTACAAGTATCCAATAATAACTCGGTGCAAATGCTGTTAAAACTCCAAATATAGTATTCAGTACTGCACTAGTAAAAATTACTCGTCGTCGTCCGTATTTATCGGCTATAACACCAAATGTGAATGCTCCAACTAACATACCAGCAAATACACCCTAATACAAAAAAAAGAAACTATTACTTAGTTTTAATTAAATAAAATATTTTTTACGTACAGTAGTTAATGCAGCTATTTGTACTTGTGTAACATCTGGCCAATAACACGTAAGTGCTGGTCCTAAAATAGCCAAAAGCATCATTTCAACTGCATCAGCCATTGAACAACAACCAAGTATAGCTATCAAACGCCATTGATATCTTCCCAATCCAATATGATCTATACATTCTTCTAATGAATATGTTGCACTTGGTAGCATCGTTATATTTATTCACAATTTCTTTACTATTATTATCTGATAATTTTCAATCATATAAAAATAAATAAAAATATATATATTTCCTTTTTTTGTTCTATTTTAATTTATCAAGGATATATGTCTTTAAAAAAAAGTGTGCCAAAAAATTTTCATTATTATTTTGTTGTTTTGTATTTTTGATGTCAAGTGAAAACACACCTACACATCTTTTATCTTGTTGAAAATGGGTACCAAGGATAATAGAAAAAAAAAAGATAAAGTTAAATGTGAGGCTATTCATATGACTAAAAGAAATAAGCAAATAAATATATATCCAATACTAAATTTAAAAAAGAAAGAGAATGACATGAAACATAGATATAATAACAAGAACAACAATACATTTTAGTTTTATTCTTTAGATTATTTCAAAGTACATCTTATTTTGTTCGCTTGCTAAAAGCAATATTTTTATTATAATAAACAATGAGCTCATCAGGATTGCTTTCTTTATGTGGTAAATATTTATTTATTTTTCTTCCTATGATGACTCATCATAGATGTCTTCGGAGGAGGAGAAAGAGGATGGAAAGTATTAATTTATAAAAAAAAAAATAATTTTATATTTATGAGTAGCTCGACGTTCGATTCGTCCATTTCAATTGCCTATGGTCGTTTTTCAATCACATAAACGAACACTTCATGATCAATCTGAAACACAAGGAGCTGATTCAAATCCAGCTTATGATTTTGTACGACGTCATATCGGTCCAAATGAACGACAAACAAAAGAAATGCTTCAAACACTTGGTTTACAAACAATGGATGAACTTATTGATAAAACAGTTCCATCAACTATTAGATATCGTGGTACCATGAATATTCCTGAGGCACTTTGTAAATCAATACAATTTTTTTCCTAGTTGATAAATATTCTTTTTCTTAAAGCTGAGCATCGTGCTTTAAAAGAAGCCGAAGAAATTGCATTAAAAAACGAAGTCTGGAGATCATACATTGGTCTTGGATATAATGATTGTATTATTCCAACAGTTATTCAACGAAATCTTTTTGAAAATCCCGGATGGTATACACAATATACGCCATATCAAGCTGAATTATCTCAGGGACGTTTAGAAAGTTTACTCAATTATCAAACTGGTATATAATTAATAAAATAGAAAAATCTCGTTTGTTTATATATTTCTTTATTTTTGTTTAGCTATTAGTGATATTACAGGACTTCCTTTTGCTAATGCAAGTTTACTAGATGAAGGAACAGCAGCTGGTGAAGCTATGGCTATGTGTTTTAGACATAATAAACGACCACGAATGTTTATTAGTGATCAACTTCATCCACATGTTATAGAAGTTATTCGAACACGTGCAAGGTAACTGAATACATTTTTCAAACGAAAGAAAACATTTTTATTTATTTTTCAGTGGATTTCGTGTTCAAATTGAAATCTTACCGATTGATAAAATGGATTTTTCAACAAAAGATGTGGCTGGTGTTATTTTTCAATATCCAGATACAAATGGAAATATCTGTGATCCATCAGGTTTAATCGCTCGAGCAAAAGAAAATGGAGTATGAAAAATAAATTTTCTTCTCGATCAAATTATAATTAATAAATTTTCTTTTGATTTATATTAGACAGTTGTTATCTGTGGTTCAGATTTGTTAGCTTTATGCCTTCTTAAACCTCCTGGAGAAATGAATGTTGATATATGTTATGGAAATTCTCAACGCTTAGGTGTTCCACTTGGTTTTGGTGGTCCTCATGCTGCTTTTTTTGCATGTGCAGAACAATTTAAACGTGATATGCCAGGTCGCGTAGTTGGATTAACAATGTAAACAGAAAACAAATTAATTATTTTTTAAAAAAACAAAATAATATGCTAACTTTTAATTCTACTAGTGATTCACATGGAGCAAAAGCTTATCGTTTAGCTCTTCAAACACGTGAACAACATATTCGACAAGAAAAAGCCACAAGCAATATTTGTACTGGTATGAGAAAATAGTTTCTTAACAAAGGATAAAGTCCGATATTGTTCTTCTAGCGCAAGCATTACTTGCAAATATGGTTGCAATGTATTGTTTATATCATGGTCGACAAGGTCTTCGAAATATTGCAACAAAAATTCATACATTAACATGTGATCTTGCAGAAAGTATGATTTAAACTATTTGAATTGAGTATAGATCTTATTTTTTTCTCCTCAAGGTTTAAAATCTGGTGGAAATTCGATAAAAAATGAAATATTTTTTGATACATTAAAAATCAAACCAAAAATGAGTCTTGATGAAATCAAACAACGAGCTAAAGAAAAACGTATTAATTTACGTTATTATGATAATGGAAGTGTAAGTTTAATTTAATTTAAAAATAAATTTCGAATTTATTTTATTTTTTTTCGAAATTAAAAGATTGGTATTTCATTAGATGAAACAATGAATGAAAGTGATGTAGCTGATATTAAATATGTATTTAATGTTGAGAATAAATCATCGGTAAGAATAAAATAATATATTTTTTTCATATTAAATAAAAATGTTTAGAATGAAAATACAACAGTTTCACGTGATTTTGGTCAATTGACTCGTCAAAGTCGTTTTCTTAATGCTGAAGTTTTTAATAAGTAACATAAGATTGTTTTCTCTTTATAAAATTATTAATAATTACTATTGTAGATACCGATCAGAAACGAAATTAATGCGTTATATGAAACATTTAGAGAATAAAGATATTTCACTTGTACATTCAATGATACCACTTGGATCATGTACAATGAAACTTAATGCAGCTGCTGAATTAACAGTAAGAAAAAATAATATTCTCTTGAATTTTCTATTTTTTTTTTGGTTTTCTTTAGCCTGTTTCATGGGCTCATTTTAATAGAATTCATCCATTTGCTCCATCTACTCAATGGAAAGGTTATGTTCGATTATTAAATGATCTCAATCAATTTTTATGTGAAATAACTGGTTATGATAAAATATCCTTTCAACCAAATAGGTAAATATTTAAAAAAACAAGTTTATTAATTCTTTTTTTTTTTTGATTTCTTATAGTGGTGCTCAAGGTGAATATGCTGGTCTACGTGTAATACGAGCTTACCATGAACACAATGGTCAACCACAACGAAAAGTAAGATTTATACAGTGATTGAAATAGAGTCTTCTATTTATTTTTTTTGTAAAGATTTGTTTGATTCCAACTTCTGCTCATGGAACGAATTTTGCATCAGCAAGTAAAAATATTTTTTCTTGAAAAATTTGATTATTTTAATTGAATTTTATTTTGTTTTTCTATTAAAGTTATGGCTGGAATGAAAATCGAAAAAGTTCCAGTGGATAAAACAGGTGCTGTTGATATGAAACATTTAGCACAATTAGCAGCAAAACATAAGGATACACTTGCATGTGGAATTGTTACCTATCCCAGTACAAATGGAGTTTTTGAAGAAACAATCAAGTAAAATAAATAAATTAACAAAAAATATTCTATTTATATTCTAAATATAGAGAATTTTGTGATATTATCCATAAGAATGGCGGACAAATTTATCTTGATGGAGCAAATATGAATGCTCAAGTTGGTTTATGTCGTCCAGGTGATTATGGTTCTGATGTATCACATTTAAATTTACATAAAACATTTTGTATCCCACATGGTGGTGGTGGACCAGGCATGGGTATGTTTGAATTATTGAAAATTATTGTTAATAAAATCTATTTCAATTTTTTGTTTCCTTTTAGGTCCTATCGGAGTGTAAGTATTTTTTTTGTTTCATCAGTGATTACTTAATAAACGCTATTGAATTATTCATTTGTAGTAAAAAACATCTTGCACCATTTCTTCCAAACCATCCATTATTGGACGCCAATGCTGATCATAATTCAAAAGATTCATTTGGTCCTGTATCATCAGCTCCATTTGGTTCAGCATCTATTTTACCTATATCGTGGATGTATATTCGAATGATGGGTGCATCTGGTCTTCGTCGTGCAACAGAAACAGCTATACTTAATGCTAATTATATCGCTAAACGTCTTGAATCTTCATATAAAGTATTATTTCGTGGCCATAATGGTTTGTTTTTTGAATTTAGTTTTCTTATGAATTTATTTGGTTTGTTTCTAAAGGTTTTGCTGCTCATGAATTTATAATTGATGTTAGTCATTTTAAAGAACGTACAGGTATTGATGCAGTCGATATTGCTAAACGTTTACAAGATTATGGTTTTCATGCACCAACTGTATCATGGCCTGTAGCCGGTTCACTAATGATTGAACCAACTGAATCAGAAGATAAAAATGAATTAGATCGATACTGTGATGCATTAATTGGTAAATATATACGAAAATGTATAACAAAAATCTTTTTTTTCGTTTTTAGAAATTCGAAAAGAAATTACACAAATCGAAAATGGTGAATATGATAAAAAAAATAATCCATTAAAGAATGCACCACATTCTCAACATATTTTTCTTCATGAAAAATGGGTATTACCATATTCATTACAAAAAGCTGTTTTTCCAATTGTAAGTCAGAATTGATTGTCTATTATAAAAAAAAACATTTTTTTTTCTTCTTCATAGCATTTTGTTTCACCAAATTATAAATTTTGGCCATCATGTGGACGTGTGAATGATGTTTATGGTGATAAAAATTTAAAATGTCGTGTTGATTAAACTGTGAACTTTTCTATCTAGCAATGAAACTTTAGTATTTTCCATGCAATAGAGAGGCTTGTCTCTCTGTGATTAAATTGTTTTGATTCCGTTATATATTTCTTTTTTTTTATATCTACAAGTCTTATATATATATATATCAAATTTATCTGATATAAAAGTAAAAAAATAAAAAGTGCAATCTATGATTCCAAAAAATTTAAAATTCTAATTTTACATTATATTGAATTAGAAAAATATATCAGCATGGATTTTTTAAATTGATTCTCTAATATTAGCAAATAGGCAAACATGATATCGCAGAACCTTTTACTGTATGTGACAACATTCATTTTACGTCCTTCTATCTATGAAATAATTTTGATTAGATACGATGGTTACTGATTAAATTCATATTATAGATCAATCAGTTTTAAGATATGGATATTATTCGCTACAAACACATTAGATATCGGTCATTTGCTATTACTAATTTTGTAGTAATATAAATTTCGCGTTCAGAGCAATGATCATAAACGACATCAATATAGAAATTAAATTCAATCAAATTTTGAATATTCGACATTGAAAAGTGTTATATGAGTTTTTTCTATGAAAAACCATTGTGTATTGCAAACCACTCTTTACTGAAATGATCGACTTAACTAGTTTTCTTGAACTTCTCTCTCCTGATAGAGGTCGCCAATCTCCTGTTTCACAGCAAAAGAAAATATGATTTGTTGATTTGTACGAGCCACTCCTCTACACTGTTAGACAGATATGTATAGGTAGATGTAGACATAGTACTCTTAGTACACTCATTCACTTAATTGTAAAAGGAAAAAACCGTGAATGAAAAAAATAAACCCATGATGTTTTTTATCGATTAAAATCTCGTTAGGTAATTATCCAACGTATTCATAGGACTAACTATATAGAACTAAAAATGATGAATATATTTTTACTTGTTTACAAAAATCGATTTTTTTTCTAGAAAAACATGACACATAATAATATTGTACGTGAACTTAAACTTCATAGTCCAGCTGGTGTTGAACCAGCTCTATTTACTTGGCCAAATACTGATCAACAAGTAAAATATATTCAATTATTTCTCTATATTGTTTATTTATTATCTGTTTAGAGTACAAAAAACGATACTGTTTTTGTAGGTGGTGATGAAATTGTTAAAACAATTCGTTTAGTATTTGAAGGTAATTTTTTTCTGTCAAAAAAAACCGATTTCAATTTATTTATAATACTAAAAAAATAGATTATCCCGAATTATATCAACAAAATCTTAATCTTTCAACATGCGATATACATTCATATACAAATATGAAAGAATTATGCGATAAATTTAATAAAATAATTGATACACATATTAAATTAAATCGTGGTACAGAAGCATTTTCAGCTCACCTTGAACAACGTGCCACAGCAAAATTATTTCGTCATATTCTTGCTCAAGTTTATAGTCGTGCCGTGACAGATCCTGATAAATTACGTGTTTATGAACCATTTTCACCTTCAGTAATACAAATTAAATTTTTTTTTTTCAATTTCAATTCAAATTTTTCTTTTATAAAGGTATATGGTGAAACATCACCAGATTTAATTGATTCAATGCTTAAAGTGATTAATTTAACTGAAGATCAAACATTTATTGATCTTGGTTCAGGTGTTGGAAATGTTGTTTTACATGTTGCAGCATTAGCAAATTGTAAACATGTTTATGGAATTGAATATGAAGAAACTCCAGCAAAATATGCACGTGCTATGGCTGAAGAATTTGGTTCTTGGATGCGTTGGTATGGAAAACAGTATTCAGAATTTCAATTAGAACAAGGAGATTTTTTATTACATCCAATGATGGAAGAAAGAATTAAAGAAGCAGATGTTATTTTTGTTAATAATTATGTTTTTGGCTCAAGAGTTAATCATGAACTTAAAGTTAAATTTATGAATATGAAAGGTAATTAATTTCGTTCTACATATAGATCGATAATTTTAATATTTAATTTATTTTATTATAGATGGTGCAAAAATTGTATCATCAAGAGAATTCTGTTCCGAAACATTCCGACTTAATGATCGAACAAAAAATGACTTAGGAGCTATTATGTATATCACGTAAGAAAATAGAATTTTTATATTTCAATTTCAAATATTATCTTTTAATAGAAAACCAGAAGAATTATATGGAAAAGTTAGTTGGTCAGATAAATGTGTTCAATATTATCTTCATGTCATTGATCATACTAAATTGGCACATTATTATGAAGAAAAAACACATCATTCACATACAAAAGGAATAAGATCTATGTAAGTTTCTTGTTTATAAATCTCATATCCGAAATAAATTTAAACTTGACTACGTGATATACTCGAAAAGATAAATGTCAATAAATACATTTGAACAATTTGATTAATGATATGTAATTTTCTCTAATAGTGAAATTGAAAATAAGTAGTTAATTATAGTTTTAATATATTATCAAAAGTAGAATGTCACGATAATAATTGGTTATTGTTTAAAGATAATTACTATCTGACAAAGTAAATCAACCCTTTCGAGAACTCACAGTGCTTTATCATTATATCGACTAAAGTATCAATGCATTCGTAGACATACGAACACAATTTGTGTAGGCTTCAAGTTCTTCTTTTTATTCTCATTCTTACATTTAACTCTTCATAAAATATTATTTTAGTCATTCAAAATCCAATGAAGACGACAATTCACTATCTCCATCATCAAATAATTCATCTTCAACAAATCCATCTATAAATACTCGTACTCAAACAAAACCTGGTTGTTATCATCAATCAGAAAAAATTGATGAAAATCAAATTTCTCAATTATCATTTAAATCAAGTAAACGTAAACATCGATCTCCTATATCAATAGCGACGAGTATATCCCACAAGACAAGTCATAAGAAAATTGATTCAGATAAAAAACAATATGATTATGAATCGGATTTATCCAATGATGAAAAACTTCATTCAAAACGTTATCGTACATCATCAAAAGATTATCATTCAACATTAAATGAATTACATCCAACAAGTCAAACCTATTCTCAAATAAATAAAAATCAACGTTTTAATTATCGTGATATGACAAAATTATCAAATGAAAATCTTAATCTTCGTCATTTTCGTGATTGTTTATATGAACAAGAAGATCAACAATTTATTCATTCAATGAATACATATTTAGATCAATTTCAACAACGTCTTTTTTCATATTTTAAATATATGAAATCCAATACATATCGTGAACATTTAAAACAACAATTAGATAATGAAAAAGAATTAAATCAAACATTAAAAACTAAAGTTAATTGTTTAGAAAATAATATTAAAATTTTATTAGAAGATACAATAAATTTATTTAAATTACGTACAAATGAACTAGGTATTGAAGATTTAGAACGACCTGTACAATTAATAACATATGCAAATGATATATCAAATAAACATAAAGAATTACGTTCTAAAGTCGTTACACTTGAAAAAGAAATAGCTGATTATGATCTTGAAAATGAAAAATTAAATTTTCTTTTACAGTCAATTCAAACCAATGGACATCAATCATCATCAACTATATTACATTCATTAAATGATATTTCTTATTCAACATTATTATCTAATATGAGTAAACAAACTCAACAACAAGAATTTAGTAAACAATCATATCCATCAATTAGTCCAACATCAACAATTGATAAAACGAATTCATTGCGAGCAATAGAATTTTTATCACATTCAAATCAAAGTAAAAATTAATGATATGATAATGATTACTCCAAAAATTTGTGATTACTTAAGAAATATATTTTTTGTTTCATATTGATCAAGTTTATAAAAAATATTTTCTTTTTTTGATTTATTTGATTATTCTATTTTTCAAATAATCCAGATGTTCAACTATTGTTTTGTAGATATTAGTTTTGAAATAACTTTAGACAAAAAAAAACGCTCAATGAAGTTAAACTTACTGATCGAGGAATTAACCTGTTATTAAAGATATCGTTAAGCCTGAGAGACTAGCACCTTCTAAAGAACTGATGATAGTTTTTTTCTTGTACGCACTTCTTCAAAGAGCTCAACGACGTCTTTAATAACAGAGGTGAGGTTTCAATCATTGTCCACAAAACAATAGTTGAATAGTAGTTATAAACTTCTTCAACATGAAACTTTATCATTTGATTAGTAAGAGAGATAAATATAATCCTTAAGTCGTGTATATCTATGTATCTGAAACGAAAACTATTGTTTCTTTTTTTTTCAGTACCAATACCATCCTATGACATAAAAAAAACTGAACGAAAATCTGGATTTACTATTCCGAAAAAGGTGAAGAAAACTTCCGATGATCATACCCATATTTCATCAACTAAAACTACGGATAAACGTAGTGGATTACAAAATTCATTATTACCCTCACAATCATCAACAATTTCTCCAAGTATTAATAATATTTTATCAACTAAACAACTTGAACCCGTTCAAGTTCATTCAGTTGGACATCAATCAAAACCACAACAACCACTACCATCCTCTGTTATCCGAACAGTTAGTGTGAAAACATTATTAAATAGTCCATCATCATCATCATCATCATCAAGTGGAAAAATATCTCATTTATCTCAAGAAATCAGGTTAGTTAAATCTTTTATCTATTTTTTATATGTTATGTTTCTATTTCTAGCCGATCGATGATAATGCAATCACCTCGTAAAAAACGTGATTTTTATGGAAAATCATCGGGTCCACCAAATGCATCTCCATCATCTTCAAGATCATCAACTTCATCACCGAATACTAAATCTCATCGCCATACAAATACAACAGATTCATCTTCTACAAATAATAATCGTCCATCATCAACACCTGCATGTACAGCAACTATATCTGCACCTACATTACCGAATCGACCTGTTTCGATTCCTCCACTAGAAACTTCATCCTAGATTTGAATAAGTTTTTCCTCTTTTTCTTATGTTATATCTCAGGTATATATAGATTCGATTAGTTATGTATTTATCTAGCTGTATCAGCTTTATTATTGTGTTGTATCTTTTATTTATTATAATTGTTTATTGGTTTTTTTTCTTGATCTAAAGAATGCATCAATAAATGATCAAAGAATTCTTTTTTTTTGTTCTATTATATATTCTTGTCACGTTCTCTGTACTTACCATTTATTTTGTCTTAATCTTATTTAGTACATAGATTCATATTTGTTGTATGTGTTTAGTGCATTGTCAGTTCATTCCTTTTTTTTTGACAATATATGAAGAACAGATAAATGATAGTTTTAAATAAAATAAAAAAGATTCTCACAAGATTGTATTACTTAAAATATTTAACATTAGAAAAATAACATAATATGTTATTTTGAAAAAGAGGGTGTGGGTGTCGGTATGTGTTGGACGTGTATTCACTTGTCAGTGGATATTACAGCTCAATTTCACTCAAACTCACACCCACTCTGGACTCATGTAGCTGTTGTATATAGTTATACAAATGGTATACGTCTTTTTATTAATGGACAATTTATTACCTCATCATTAAATGCAGGCACACTTTATCTATATGATCTCAGTACACCTCAATATATTACATTAGACAATGTTGGTTCATTGTGGCCAGCATCATGGATTACCTGTGCAAGTGGTAGTATATCTTATGCATCAGGATCATTCTCAGTTGCTACCGATGAATTTCCACTCTATAATCGAGAATTAGACAGTCAAGAAATTTGTGTATTTGCTAATCTATAAATTCATAATGACATATACTATTTTTAATTTTTCAAAAGCAAACAAGAGATTGTACTATTGATAATAATTTTTTTTTTTTTGGTTACTTCTTAACACATTTATATAAGACAAAATAAGAAATGTTTTCTTTTATTCCAATAATCACAGAAAAATGAGAAAATAATCGATTAGACACAATGAACTTATTTTCTTCAAGGATAGAAATAGTCAAAGTAGGTTAAATCAAAACAACTCAATTGATATACAAGTGCTATTTTTAAAAAGAAATGACTGATGTGAGCAAGTTTCACCAAAAGTTTCAAATATATTCTGTGATGGACCATCTTGAGGGTGGGTGTGGGTCGTTAACTAAACATTCACACCCACACCCTTAAGAGAAATATCGATATCTATTACTTATTGTTTCAATATATTTGAGTTTTTAAGTAGTGAAGGAGTAAAATAAAGATGATAAATAGAAGAGAAGAACCAAAAATAACTGATTGATGAATGATACATGAGAAAAGGTAATTATTTACGAACTTAGAAAAGAAAGAAAAGAGATAAATCACTGGCGGTTAATTGTCCGTTAATATTTTCAAGATAGTTCAGAGCAAGTTTTTCATGATACATACAAGTGCCATGATGAAGACTGATCCTGCCACTGCTTTCTTTTCTTTTTTAGACATACTGTTATCAAAACCCAATGATCTTGCTACCCGTTGTGTTTCATCAGTCATAAATGAATAGTCAATACCATCTAATAAATGATCCATTGAAACCACTTTCTCAGTGTTTTTATTAAGCATTGGATCGCGTTGTTCTATCATTTGGAGCATTTTTTCTCCATTAGGAAACATAGTCGTCATACCAATACCACCCAATGCATAGCTAACTACAGCGTTGTCGGCCAAATTCTGAAAAGCAATCGTGTTTTGAGCGGACACAGCTCGTCCACAGCCTCGTGATTGTATAACATCATAGATAGCGTGTTTCATGATATCAATGCCATACATTTTTTCTGTTGTATGGAGTAAATTTAGAAGATAATCTGGTCGAACCAGTCGCGAAGGGAAATTACCACCACCTGTCATCTGAATGGCGAAAAATCGGTAATCTTTTATGGATGATGATGGATCAGCGGTCATCGGAAGAGAAACATCTCTCATAGCAATCAATGTCCAATGTTGATTGACACCATCCACAAATCGCGAAAACACGTCGAGCTGAGCCGAACTCGTCTGACTTTTATCAATCCCTAATAACATAACAGAACTGCTGCCACTTGCCAAAAGAAAATCTTTCAAACATTGAGAACCACGAAAAAACCGGTTTGAAATTGCGTTTAACGAATGTCGCCAAAGGGAAGCCAATGTTGCTGTATATCCTTGAGTAATACACTGCGGCCGATTGGTAGTCCTGTACAGAACATCGGCAGCATGCTGCAGCCACGTCAGTTTAGGTGGTACAATTCTAAACTGTCCACTAGGACCCAACGAAATGAAAAATCGATCGGCAGTTGTTCGATGTGTCACACCACTGTTTGTATCTAACCAGTCGACGGCAATAACTCGCATACGTTCAGAACACTCAGGTGACATTGGTCGGACCAATAGTTTCTTAAGTTGAAATGATTTACGACTAACCATGTCATCGTGTTCTGGTTGAGTCAATTTTGCTCTGACCATCATCTGATTTTGCAAATTTTCTATAATCATGGGTGATATAAGACCGTCGTTTGGAAAGTTGAGCACTTGATTTACCTCAGCTCCGAAGCCTTCGCGTGAAATTTCGTAGAATGGAATAGGAGCAAACTTGTTTAACCAAGTAAAATGACTCTTCGGTTCCTTTGTTGAGCCAACCATTCCGACATAGTTTGCCTTATTTTTACCTCGTATTAACATGGTTTCAATTGGCATTCCAGTACAGCTGCTAATTTCCTTTACAATGGGTACTGTACGGCAAGCATGTTGAATGACATGAGCCATTTTTGATTTGGTCTTATTTTTTATCCAGATATCAGTAACCATGTGCCAAAAGTTAGGTATAAATATGGTAAAAAGATATCTTGGTTTTATGTTGGCCCAACTAAGACTAATTTTCACATGATGACGATTAGTTTCAGCTTGTTCGACTAATTTCGCTGGACTGATGAGTCGCTTGTATAAATCAATATAGATACAATAGGGACCACGATTCACACTATTAATATAGACAGGTGCTGCATCTCGCTGATGGTAGTAATAAGCAGATCCATCATAATTACTGTCGAAACGATCGGCAAACACATGTTGAACTCGATGTTCTGGATAGCCAAGCTGATAAAGAAGACAAGCAGTCATTGTTGATGGACCACCAATGAAAAGTGCATCGAGATGTTTATTCAATACTTTGTCTTGTTCATCATCGTGTTGACATACCTCAGATTGATCAGCAAACTGAATTGTTACTTCATTATTGTCTTCTGCCCATCGTTGAAAGACCCCTATATCGTGATCAAGATGTTGAATTGTAGTAATGCCTCGACTTTTAACTAACTCTGGAAAGAGCTGACGAAATACGTTCTGTATAGGTGGTTTTGCTGCATAAATGTACTGCAATTCGCGGTTTCCTTCGAGCACTTTTTGGCGATAGTGCGCTTTTGCTTCTTTGAAATTGGTAAGAGTTGTAGCAAGATCACTCACTGTTGTATTCATCTCTGGCAAGAAATGCAACGGAGGTAGTGTCAACGCGTTCGTCGCTGCATTATCACTGTACCGTCTAATGTTTAATGGTGTATGTGAAAGTTTTGTGCTAACACTGGAAACAATAACCATATGTGACAAAGAATGATGAAATCGAACGAACGACATTATTTCTGGCAATGAAGATTGTTGCAGTTGCTGAGGATTTTATTTCCACTTTTTCTACAAATTGGCCTATTTCGTGCAAGTTATTCTATGTCAATAACCTACCTTCGACAGAGGATACTGTTGGTTAAACGAACAATAGAATCGAGGAACTAAAATTAAGTGCTTACATAGATCAGTAAGCCTACTTTTATATCGTAATCGGACATTCATCTATAGATACGTGGAAAAATTCACTGGGAAGGAGATGTCACATACACACACACGTCATGATCTCGGTAAAGACGAAGATAATCAGTAGGAAGTTAATTATAGCGAAGAAAAAGCCAAAAGAGATTATCATTATACCGAATTACAATGACGTATAATCGTGTGTTCTCTTCTTTTACTGTTTCGTTATCGATTAATAAGCGAAGAACCGGAAGTAAAGAATTATGTTGGAACTTTTCACAAACATACAGTTACTGTGTTATTATAATCCGATATGATAATCTTCTCTTTTGGTTTTTTCTTCATCACAGCCAACTTCCCACTGACTCATTTCCTTTTTATCGAGATTATAAAGTGTATTTTCCGCGACAGAATCTCGATGTTTCTTCTCATTATGATTTATTGGTCTCCACGTCATGTCTACTTTGATTATTCGATCTGATATAAAAGTCAGTTGGTTAACTGGCAAAAGCACTGCATTTTTATCTACCGCCCTACTTATAATACGTGTGGCACTGCTTCTCTTGCTCATTTAGCTATCATCATCTTTCGAACGTAAGTCATTGGCTTTAGGAAAGAAGACCTAGTATCATCTTTGAGTTTCGATTTCTCTAAGTCATTTATTTATTTATTTTACTGGACATGTTTCATCAATGTGAACGATAACTGATTATAGATAAGTGATAAAAAAAATCACTCTGCTCCAATTGTAACTCAACAGACAGAACTGTCATGCAGTCGTCAGTTTTATCATGTAGTATTGAACAGTAAATATAGAGAATATCAACATTAGTTTTTCATATTTAGGTCGAATTTCATACTTAAAAATGGTCAAATCAAGAACAGTGCTGATTGCCTTAGCTATTCTTTTAACTTTATTAGTTTTCGTGCCCAATGATACTGAAGCTATTAGTTACTGTGCTCGACGTTGTTTGGAACGTGGTTATCCACGTGGAATTCAAAGAGGAGCTCGTTGTTTTTGTTCTCACAAAATAGAACGTGGCAAACGGGATGCAACGTCAGCAGCACTAGTCGACATTTTGGAACTTGGTGATCCACAATGATCGTAAGAATTTAATCCAGAACTTTTCCTTTATCAACTTCTGTTAATTTTATAAGCCAACACGAATTTGCTGTTTTAACGTATAACAATAAATAAGAACTTTTTTCTTTCCTTGCATATTTGTACTGTTTATGATTAAATAGAAGAATAACAACAGAAAAGAGAGTCAAACGAAGCAAGAAGAGAAAAAATGTAATTACACAGACGATGAATAATGCGAGGTCTTTCGAATTATATCTGTTTTTCAAGCAATAAAACCAACATAAAAGTCAGTGAATCAGTTGCGATTAATGCCTAGCACTAGTCGAAGTTACTGTTAAGAGTCATTTTTTCAAATATCAACATGTATAATGGTCAGTTATGAATAACATACCGATCGATCGTAGATATTATGTCAAAGATGATCGATAGATAATATATCGAGTCAGTCGTTGGGCTGTGTATTGCAATCAGTTGAGAATATTGTTAAGAGTCAATTTTCGAATATGAATATATAAATAATTACCATATGTAAATAATATTTGGTTTGATTATCGATATTATGCATCAGATGATTACTGAGTCATATACCAAATCAATAACGAATGATGTATTTAATCAATGAGTAATATTGTCCAGCAGTAGTTTTGAAGCGATATATATATATGAATTATTCGCATTTGATACTTTAAATGAATTGTATGTATAACGTGGATAGTCACTTGATGATTAATATTCAAAGTGGATTGTAGATATGGTAAAAATGTGCAGTGATTGTTCAGGAAGGAAATGTATGACGAGGTATTGCAATACACATCAAACAGAAAACATTACTAAAAGAATCTTTACAAAGAACCAAAGCAATAGTATCAGTTATAGCTGATAGTGGATCAAAAGAAAATGATCTGATGAGTACAAGAGTTATAGTAGGATATGAAGAAAATCATGAAGAAGAAAGTAAAGAACATCATTTTATCTTTCTTCCTTTTCTTGTCGTCAGATGCTAAACAGAGAACAACAATAACATACATCTAAGAGTACTGGCGCGGAAATCTCCTATATGTGCAGAGACACAGTTACTCTTTCACTGTTTGTAATCCGATATGGTAATCAACTCTTAGAGTTTTTTTCATCGCTGAGATTGGTCATAAGGAAAATTTCCACTGATGATGTTCTATCCCGAAATAATGACGTGTGTATGTGTTACTTCCTTTTTACTAGATTTTTCCACATATCTATAACTGGGATCTACCTTACGCATAGTGATTGAACTCAAAAGCGATGTACTACTTGCATCGGTTCGATCGCTAGGATAGGTTTGGAAGATCTGTGCATATCTTGAGGGGTAAGGATGTGGGTGTTTTATACACATACCCTTCTCATGTAAGAAGGCTCAGAAAGTTACAAACCTCTTCAGTCAAATAAAATGCTCATGTCAGCAAAATTCACTACAAAAACAAACAAGCGCTTCTGGGAGATCATTTGAATCTGGCGCGGAAAATGTATTACAAATTTCTACTTTTCATAAGTTCACTCACAACTTTCGTTTCTCAAAATGGAGAGTTTCAAGAAAAACATTTATTTTCATAACTATCATGCAATCGTTCTCAAATATGATTGTGACCAAATTCGAATGTTATGTCTTTTTTCCGATTTTTTACTTGATATGAGTGATGAAAATGAAGTTAGATAGTCCATGTGCACCATTTTCAAATTTCTTCAAGTTATTTGCAGATTAATTTTATCACGCTTTCTTTCTTTGACCTTTTTCTACCTTCGTTTCGATCTTCTATGAGAATGTTCTCGGGTTATGAAGAGTAGAATGAATAGATAGATATAAGAGTACACTAGTTAAGTATTTATTAGTTCTCGTGTATAATAAATAAAAAGGAGAAAAGGGAACAGTTCTTTAAAAGTGGTTAATTAATTCCTTCTTGTCGAGACGACCAGCCTGTTCTAACAAGTCACGTTTTCGACGTCAAAAACACACCAAATGATTTCCAGCCCACTGACAGTTTCCAGTCGCATACGGAGAACCCCAAGGAAAATGACCATGGCCACGGCCACCATTGATTCCACCGTAGTGAACCAAGCCATCGCCATAACGGTAGTGGCCATGCGCCGGGGCGCACGTCATCATTGATATAACCACAAGAAGGAGCATCAGCATAAACATGCACTTCATGTTATTCATTATGTTAGCAGACAGAAATCAGTGAACAAGTGAACGGAACTATAGAAAAGTGAAAGAGAAATTCATTTATTGCGTACAAGATAATTTTGAGTCAATAACCTACCTTCGAAAGAGAATGACGTTGGTTAAACGAGTAGTAGAATTGAAGAACTAAAGTGAAAAAGTGGTTACATGGATCCGATAAGCTAACTTTTATACCGTAATCTAATAGCTATCTATAGATACGTGGAAAAATCCAATGGGAAAGAAGTATCACATACACACATACGTCATTATCCCGAAAGAGATCATCAGTGGAGATTTCCAACAAGATCATCCATGGCTAAGAAAAATCCAACAAGAGTTTATTATCATATTGGATTAGAAACAGTGACACAATGAATGTGTACATGAGGGAAATTTCTTCCAGTACTCTTAGATGTATGTTATTTTTGTTCTTTCCTTTCCTCCTTTTTGTTTTCTCTGTACTATGTTGTCATTATTCTTGTACTGTTGATAGATCTTCGATAGTACAGAGAAAAAAATGAAGGAAGCGAAAAAGAATATTGTTTTATCTATCTTTCTTTCTCTTCTCGTCGTCATATACTAAGGAAAGATCAAGAATAACATATATCTAAGAATAATAGGTGAAAATTCCCTCATGTACATGTTTATTATATCACGGTTACTAATCCGTTATAGTAATAAACACTGTTGGGTTTTTTCTTAGCCAGAGATGATCCTGTTGGAAATCTCCACTGATGATTTCTTTCGGGATAATGACGTATGTGTGTATGTGATACTTTCTTTCCACTGGATTTTTCCACGTATCTATAGATGACTGTTAGATTATGGTATAAAAGTTAGCTTGTTGAAGCCATATAAGCACTTCATTTTAGTGTGTTCTACTACTGCTTCTCTTTACAGTTCGTCTCTCAAAGGTAAGTAAGTCATATTATAACATAAATCTCATTGTACTGTTTTCCCTAGTTTCATTTATTCATTCATCTGTTCTCGTCTCACTGAGAAAATGAAAAACATCAAGTTCGCGATTGCATCCATGCTCATGCTCGTAGTACTCATCTCAATGATGGACATGACCGATGGACGTCCTCATAATAATCATGTAGATGTAGGAGACGACTGTTATTGTGATAGAAGCTCAGGGTATTATGGTGATCATCATTGCCATTGTCCTCCTAAAGTTGATTGGCCAGGGTATCGATTGAAACCATGGGCACCTCAGGACGACCGTAGATATTATCATAATATTTATTATCTTGATGGTCAACAACCGTATACAACGCAAGGCGTTCAAGATTATGATTATGATTGGGAGTGAAATGAGCGACAAGGTCCACTTTCCAAGAACATAAAGCTTTACTTTATTTATCGATTCCTTTTTCCTTTCTTTCTTTTTTTACAAAATAAACACTTGTCATTTAATCGTGAAAAAATAAAGAAAATAATACTTTCAGGAAGCCTTGCTTACCCAGAAACAGCAATATTAGGGTATGGGTGTATGTGAGCGATGAAACACCATTAACGTTCACCCACACCCTATTGGTTTTGATACAGTGGATTTAACATTTCTTTGTTCACAAACTATTCTCTCAGTCGATCATATCTTATATAAGTTAAAAATATAGATTAATTACAAATATCACTTATACATTTAATGAAACAAAACATTCAACAAAGTGCACAATCCCAACACAATCTTTTCTTTGTAATTTAAAAAGCAAAAAGACAGATTGTCAGTATATTTTCATACAATTGATTGAATATATCTTTGTTTGTAAGCAGTTCTTTCAATAGATCGTATTCTATATGATAAACATTTTCTTTTGTAAAGTTTTTTCTTGTTTTTTTCCACGTTTATTTATTATTTAGCGCATTCCAACCTCAAATCAATTCCCATGTCAGTTGTGACATCATATCCTTCTTATGTAAGAAGGCACAGAAAGTTACGAAACTCTTCAGCCGAATAAAGCGCTTATGTCAGCCAAATTCACTACAAAAACAAGCGAGCGCTTCTGGGAGATCATTTGAATCTGGTGCGGAACAAGTATTATAAATTTGTACTTTGCATAAGTTCACTCACAACTTTCGTTTCTCAAAATGGAGAGTTTCACGAAAAACATTTATTTTCATAACTATCAACCAATCGTTCTCAAATATGATTGTGACCAAATTCGGATGTTACGCTCTTTTTTCCGATTTTTTACTTGATATGAGTGATGAAAATGAAGTTAGATAGTCCATGTGCACCATTTTCAAATTTATTAAAGTTTTCTTTCTGACGTTCTCTCTACCTTTGTTCCGATCCCCGATGAGAATGTTCTCGGGTTATGAAGAGTAGAATGAATACATAGATATAAGAGTACAATAGTTAAGTATTTATTAGTTCTCGGATACAATGAATAAAAAGGAGAAAAGGGAACAGTTCTTTAAAATTGGTTAATTGATTCCTTCTTGTCGAGACGACCAGCTTGTTCTAACAAGTCACGCTTTCGACGTCCAAAAGGGAAACACACCACGTGATTACTACCTTGTCGACAGTTCCCAGTCGCATACGGGGAACCCCAAGGAAGATGAACATGGCCACCATTTTCTCCTCCATATTGACCCCAGCCATCGCCATAAGGGAAGTGGCCATGCGCTGTGACGGTGGTCATCATTGATACAGCCACGAAAAGGAGCATCACTATAGACATGCACTTCATGTTTCTCATTATGTTGTCAGTCAGAAATGAATGAATGAATGTAACTGAAGAAAAAGAATGGATAAATTTGCCTATTTCGTAAAAGTTATTTTAAGTCAATTACCTACCTTCGGAAGAGGATGATGTTGGTTAAACGAGTAGTAGAATCGAGGAACTCAAGTGAAGTGGTTACATGGATCCGACAAGCTAACTTTTATACCGTAATCTAATAGCTATCTATAGATACGTGGAAAAATCCAATGGGAAAGAAATATCACACACGTCATTATCAAGAGAGAGAGAATATCACCGGTGGAAATTTCAAACAGAGTTATTCCTGGCTAAGAAAAAACCAACAAGAGTTTATTATCATATCGAATTAGAAACAGTGACACAATAAATGTGTACAGGAGGGAAATTTCTCCCACTAGTCTTAGATGTATTTAATTTTTGTTCTTTTCTTAGTATATGACGACGAGGAAAGAAAGAAATAAAGACAGAACAATGTTGTTCTTTTTCGCTTCCGTCATTTTGTTTTCTCTGTACTATGTTGTCATTATTCTTGTACTGTTGATAGATGTTCGATAGTACAGAGAAAAAAATGAAGGAAGCGAAAAAGAATATTGTTTTATCTATCTTTCTTTCTCTTCTCGTCGTCATATACTAAGGAAAGATCAAGAATAACATATATCTAAGAATAATAGGTGAAAATTCCCTCATGTACATGTTTATTATATCACGGTTACTAATCCGTTATAGTAATAAACACTGTTGGGTTTTTTCTTAGCCAGAGATGATCCTGTTGGAAATCTCCACTAATGATCTCTTTCGAGATAATGAGGTGTGTGTGTGTATGTGATACTTCTTTCCACTGGATTTTTCCACGTATCTATAGATGACTGTTAGATTATGGTATAAAAGTTAGCTTGTTGAAGCCATATAAGCACTTCACTTTAGTGTGTTCTACTACTGCTTCTCTTTACAGTTCGAGTCTCAAAGGTAAGTTAGTCATATTATAACATAAATCTCATTGTACTGTTTTCCCTAGTTTCATTTATTCATTCATCTATTTTCGTCTTACTGAGAAAATGAAAAACATCAAGTTCGCGATTGCATCCATGCTCATGCTCGTAGTACTCATCTCAATGATGGGTATGACCGATGGGCAGCATAATCACCATTGGCCATGGGGCAATTGTAATTGTGATACAAGCTCATGGTATAGTGGTGATCATCACTGTCATTGTCCTACCGGTACGCGATGGCCAGGTTATGAAGAGAAAATATGGGACAATCCAAATCATCAAATTTTTCGCATTGGTGGTAGAAGCCCGCCTCTTGAGTGGTATTATGATGGCAAAAAATAATGTAACCAATAGAAAAAAAAACGAAATTGATGGATGACGAGAACCTGTGTTCGTAGCATGATTACCTTATGTCATTCTCAATTTTTTTATCAAATAAATTCTTATCCTTTAATCTTGAGATATAGAGAAAAGTACATCCTTTATGCATTATATTGTTGTTTAATCTTTTTCTATGAAGTGGCTAGGTAACAGAAGGGTGTAGCCGTGGTGTGGGCGCGAGCGACAAAAGGAACACGTGCAGAATCACACTTGTAGCCACATCCAAACGGATGTTTTGAATCGTGTTGATAACCACTCGAGTTCTGAAAACACTAGAAAAGCAATTTCCTATCTTGACAGAAGTAGCTTGTGAAAGATTTAGTATCCCAACTACAACGACTTCAGTTGAAAGCTCATTTGGTGCAGGTGGAAATATTGTTACAAAAAATTGAATCAATATCAAACCTGTGCATTTGAATAATATTCTTTTTCTGCAATCTTTTTACTGAACTTGTGTTTCAATGATTATCAATGGTGTTCATTCATGTATATTTTAACATATACAATGACCTGTTTAATTTCAAACTGAATTTAGAAAAAAAAATGAAGTCGATTTCAAACTGAAATGGGGACGAGGACTAAGGGTACTACCGATTTATGCATTCATAGAATTTTATTTATGTTTAACGTAGAGTTGAGAAGTGTTGGGTAAAGGCTTCTCAGGTATGAATGTTCTTATAGCCAGTCATTTTAGAGTTTGAGAGTAAAAAGAAAAAAGTTCATATAAAATATAGTTTAGCAAGATTTGTTGGATTCACGATTACATTCGAAATAATGATAAGTTTCCATAAAATGTGAAAACGAATACTAGATACAATTGGTCAAGCATTCATACGCTGTCAATTGGGTGTGAGTGTTGTTTAATTAAGAAAAGATTCACCCACACCGCATTCCTTAGTTTTATCATCGCTATAATATAACAAATATGCTATGAAGTAATATAGTAGACTGTATCACTCAATAGTTATTAGTGCAACTCAATTTACACGATGTGTTATACAATAGAAATGATAATATCTGTTAATGAAAATTATATATATTATATTTTCTACACCATAAGCATATGGATTGCGTGACAGTGCTATTTTACTTCATGAATTTGAATTATTTTTTTTTCTGTTTCAAAGATTTTTTTTTAACAATTTGTTGATTTGTTAATTCTACAAAAAAAAAGAAAAGACTCTTCTATTTCGATGTAAATATACAATTTTCGTTGATGTCTTAGTGATTTGTTTACATACATATAAATCACAGAAGCAGTAATAATGATTTGTTCCTACATTAGATTTTTTCTAATACGACACAAATCGATACATCCAAATTCAGTACAGAATAGAAATCGCTTGAAAATTTGTAAAGACAATTTTAATATACTCAAAAATTCTAGTAAAGTACGTTGGAATATACAATTCTTGTTTGTTTTCTTTCCATTCAACTAAATTTTAAGACACAATAGAAAATCATCGATCTATTTACCAAAGACAACAAATTGATCAAATTAAAACAATTGATAGTATTTATTCATCATTTTTTGTTAAAATACGTCCACTATTTAATAAAATATATTTTATAATCTTTTATATTGTATTTGAATTAAAAAATTTCAGTTTCACTAATATTAAATATATTCTTTATTGAGAACTCTTCGATGAATTTTACAGAAGTAAACAATTAAATCGACAAAGATTGCAAAAATAATTTGAAGAATAAATCGATTATCAAGTCGATCAAATATTATTTTTCGATTGTATTTTTTTATAGTTAAACTCGTATTGGTTTCATAATGTAAAGCAAGAAAAGAATACTATGGATGATTAGTTGCCTGAAATACAGCACTATCATTTTCATAATTACATATCAATTTAAATATTGCATCTTGTCGAAATAAAATTGATTCATCAGTTTTTGATAGTTTCAATCGACTAAACTCATGACGTAAATAGAAATTAGATGACAATTAATATTTAAATAAGATCGGTGGGTGTGGGTGTGGATGAATGTTGATATTATTCAGTTAATCCACACATGCCCACACCAGCAGCCACACCCTCTAATGACAAATAATGTGATGAAAAGATATTTTTATGTGAGGAACTATTCGCACAGATCAGGAGAGACGAAACACACTTGTTCTAATAGATACTGAGAAGTATGTTAATCAAACATTATTTATCAACGTATCTAATACCACTCTCTTCGCACAAGTGATCAATTATTTCTTGATTAACATCTTCATTTGAATGAAAATTTATTTTGCTTCATATGAAATCGAACGACGAAATCGATAGTTTTTCTATTCGAGATTATATTTGGTCAGTACTGAACCATTAAGAGAAGGTCGTATAGCATGCATTTACCTATATTGTATTGATTAGAAATGGAATATAATAACCGAATATTAAATTTCCAAAATTTTGTTCTCATCTTTTAAATGCGTTTTCTATGGTTGAAATAGTTCTGTATTCAAGAAATTCTTTATAAAATCAAATAGCATCGATATGGAATTTTCATCTGATCTCTAGATGATATGAAAGCTGTAGTGGAAGAACTGCTCATGCTTAGGCTAGGTTTTACATATTTTTCGATCGTGAATCCTCAATAATCATCAATTAGACCATGAGAACAAATGATAAACGAAGAAAAAGAAAGGGGCTACCGGACAAGTGAACCCCGAGCCTCTCGCACTTTTAGCGAGAATCATACTACTAGACCTGTTATCTATTATTTTGATTAGTTCTCATTACAAAAACGAAGGTTAGCGTTGTTAATTTTGATTAATTGATGTGATTGATTGTGTACGATAACGTTACAACGCAGGCACCACCTAACCTGAGATAAGCAAATGAGGAAACCCGTCTAGTACTGATATGTTTCTATTTGATTGGCTTGATTTTACCATTCAACTAATGTTTTGTGTATATCAAATAATCCATTCTTACTCGCCAACAAAATGTAAACAAAAAAGATTAAAATTAAATAGCAAACTTCGATATTAGGTGGTTATTTCTTTACAGGGTGTGGGTGTGGCTGGGTGTGGGTGTGAGTGTGAATTGAATAAATATTCGTCATCTTTCGATATTTGAATAGGTATGTGCCGAACTTTCGACTGAGTATTATTATTTTTTGAACCAGTAGTTTCTACACCGACGAAAGCTGTGCACGGTGATAATATTTGATGTTTCATCGATAATGTAGTAATGCGTTGTTCAAGTGTTGAATTATCTCTATGACACAAAAAAAGATTAAATTAGTAAGACGAATGTGTCAATGATTTCTAGTCATTTCAATCGATTTTGCTAGACAAAAATCTTCTTCACTCTTTATTACGTACTGTTGATTATGTGCATCAGCCTTTTCATGTTGCAATTCTTGTATCAAAGCTTTAGCTGCTAATCGACGAATTGTATCTGTTTTGTGTGGTCGGTTTTTCGGTAATTTAATCGAACCAATTTTAAGTTCGCCAACCATCAGATCTACACTGACATTGTGTTTTGCGAAATCGTCACTATCCAACAGTTCATAAACTAAGACACGCTCGTCGACATAAACAGGTGGAATCGTTTTCGGAGCCTGTGATCCATTTGCAGATAAACCATGCCATTTAAGTTGAGCATTGACAATTGATGGTTGAAGAGCTCGACCAAACTGAGTACCTACATATGCATCTACTTTGACACCGGGAGGGACGAAAACGAAGTGACCATTTGTGGTACGAGCAAGTCCTTTGACCAGTGAACGTGATGGGGAATGGCCAAGACCAAAAGAAAATATACGTGTAGTTGAAGACATTGAACGACACAGTTCGATCACCTAAAATGCAAAAGAAAAATCTGATTTTGGACTTGTGGACCTCGTAACATCCATCGTCTATGTGTACTAGTGTGCTAATTAAGTCATTGTTTAAGAATGTTCAAGAATATGTCAGATGAAGGGTTTGCTTATCTTACTTTGTTCGTATTTGAAATTTCTCCATCAGTCAACAAAAAGATTTGTCTTGATCGCCCATCGATTGGGGGGTGGCTTTTCAAATGTTTCAGAGGTTCCAGCAGTTCTGTTCCACCAAAATCAGCTGTCATAGAACGTGTAAGATGTTCTGCTGTTTTTGCGGTTTGTTCATTATAAACCGTAGTCATAGCCTCGCTTTTGAATAGAATATCGAAATGTGATCCAAAACGAATAATATTGAAATGAGCACCCATAGGTAAGCTCCGTATGAAGAGAAGCATTGCCTCTCTGGCAAGATCGATTCCATCGGCTCCTGCCATGGAACCTGAACAATCCACTAGAGGGCAAACACAAAACATTGTTTTGTCAAAACAAATTCATTTTAGAACATACCAATGAAGATAAACTCTGCATTCGTCTCATTATGTCCACTGGAAATTTTCATAACGTCACCAAGGGTTGGAGTAAATGCTAGAAGAATAGCATGTTTCGAAGTATCGTTGGATTGTTCCATAGCGACCATGGTCATTGGTCGATTGTTGGGTAGATCAATATCCAGAATGATATCACGATCAAGAGCAATCGATTCTATCGATATGTCAATTGATTGACGTGACACACTAACATTCACAGGATGGGAAAGATTCGCTACTTGTGTAATTTTGTCTAGAATCATATGAAATCGTTTTTATCGATTGGGTATAAGACACGAACTTACACTCTTCACTTCGAAGAACATGTGCTTGAAACCACATCGAGTAGGAAGTATTTTGAACGTATTCACTTTTTGTATTGTCCGGTGATTGGAGATGATCCAACAATGGATTGTATCGTGGAGCAATAGTCGTAGGAACAACAAATCGAATTGAACTTCCATCCACTAGATCCAATTCAGTCACATACTGGATCTTTACTCGACATTCTTTTCCATGTGGTAAAGCACCGATATTTATCTAAATATAACAATCGAGTTCGATGATCAGAACAAATAAAAATCCAATTGGAACATATATTCTTGAAAAAGACTTACTGTAAATGTATCCAAAGTTTTTTTATTTTGTCGCATCAGAACCGCTGTTTGACCTTGTTGAACAGCAGATTCATACTCTTTTTCAGCTACTTTCTTCTCTTTCAACAAAGCTGTGATTATTCGATCGTCGATTTGAGCCGTAAACGAGTAGACAGCAGCATTTTCCTGCAAAACAAAAGAATTCTGATCATTGGTCGTCAATTTATCATTTGAGTAACATACATCTATTGGAAAGACATACACTGCTTCAATATTAGTTTTTTCTTCATTAACAAATACTTGGGTCACTGTGACGTCAGCAGCAAAAGTATCAATCCATGCTTCAACAGACACATTACGAAGCGGTACATATGCCTTTTTAGATGAAGCCAATGGTGGTTTGAAGATCAGGCCCGAACAACCCGCTTCCTTATTATCATCACGAGTAGATTGATGGATCGTTTTCGTTGTTAATCGAAGACCCGCTAGGTTTGATCCAGCACTAAAAATTATAACAGTTTTATTTGGAAGAGTCTCGGCAACTGCCCTCTTCGCATACCTTTTTCGGACTATCTGTCCATTCACACATCGATCTCCTTTCAGAAGATCAAATATGCGCTTATTTTTTCCGCAAAAACATAGCTGTTGACCATTTTGTCGTTTTGTACATCGATGATCTCCAGTAGGTTTAACTATTGCCTGCTTTGTCGTCGTCTCAGTGTGACAAATAATTATCAACAGTCCGAAGACTAGAGCACCGATTTCAAGAGAAACAGTTCTCATCTTAACTAAATAGATAATATTGTCTGTGCAATACAAACTTTCGTATTTATAAAAACGACAATCTGAATATCTATCAACATATGTCTGATGAAATTCCTCAGTAGGATATTATTATATATGTCGCATATTGTCATAGAGATATTACCTTCCTTGTTTTTCCCATCCGATAATACCCTTATGACATACATAGTATATATAGACTTGAGGATGTGGGTGGGTAGGTGTGAATAAGCGTGTTGGTCTTATTATAGATCGATGATATATCGGCTTAAACGCGCGTAACGCGCGTAACGCGATGACGTTTTGGCCACAGTAAATTCATCTTTTCTCATATACTAACATTCTTAGGAAGTTTGTTTCTGCGCCATAAAATGTACCTCTCAGCCCTCTAGAGATCCTTGAAAAAATTATCTCGTTTGAACGAGCTCTTTGAAAATGGTCGATAAAATACATGTCGTAACACGATGACGAAAAAACGACAAAATTTTGATAGTGTTGTGCTTGTTCGATATTTTTCTGCGAATCTAGCCTACATCAAAGGGGACATTTATTTGATGGTTTGTAGCCCACACCTTGGGGTATTTAATGATAAAACTAGTTTCGCGAATCGACAGTCTATTCTGCCAAAAAGTCGCTTTTAAGAATGTAACGCGATGATGGCTTCGTAACGCGATGATCCTAAGTTTTTGATTAGAGTTTTTTTTACATATTTTAGAGACATTTTCAGCCGTATAATGTAAGAATAGTGTACTACTTGCCATAACTACAGGAAATATGCATTAATTTTTGTGCTATTAAACATTTCAACTCAAAAATTACGAGTAACTAATTAGGCAGGCTAACCTATCACTATCTAATTTCTGACAGGTATTTCTTGATTTTCTTCATAAAAATATACTTGAAATATGAAACCAAGTACATATTCAGAATCAGCGTGAAAAACTGCGTCGAATCCATAGAACTAGGTTGAAAAATATAGAACTTTATTTTTTTCGAACTTCTGACCCCGCTTATAAATAAGGAAAGATTTTGGATTCTCCAGTAGATTCTTACGATTCTGACGTAGTATTTCGAATTAATTTACTGTAGTTTGATAATAATACCTTAGGAGTCAAGAGAGAGTTCTTATACATCGCTTAAAACAATTCTTGGGTGATGAGTTGCTAATAAATATATTTTTTCATAAAAACAGAAATATATATAAGGAAAAAACTAGTAAATCGTCATCGCGTTATGCAAACATTTCCATCGAAAGAATTGCTTCTAAATAAAAGTATGCCTATTAGATAGAGCAAGAAAAGTTAGCTTTGAGTATAAACTTTCCATCCAAAAATAAAGTAGACTAGCGGATGAATAATAAAGAATTTTTTGTTTTCGTTACGCGATGATGCTGTAAATTATGGCACATATTTAAGTGCTAAGTAAAAATATATAAACGCTAAGTTGATTTCTGCTAAGTAAAATTTGTATATACTCGGTAAATAAGTTGAATGCTCAGTAAATTTATTGAATGTTCAGTTAAAAAAACAATTCTCAGTAATTAATTTTTTTCTAAGTATATTAATTAATATATAAGTTAAAATTTTAATTGCTAGGTAAATTTATGGAATTATCGGTAAAAAATACATTTTGCCCAGTAAAAAAAATATTTTAGAAGTAAAAAACATAAATTTGCTAAGTAAATACAAATGACGGACAAGTCCTTGTTTTCCGTTCGTTCTCTTGTGTTCGTTTCTTTTTACATACATCACATATACTTGGACTCTTTCGATCCTGTCCATCATATATGCTTGTTTTTTTCCTTCTATTCTCTACTTGTCATCTTTTCATATGTATATCGTGTTTATTGAGATTTATTCCAGCCGTTTTACCTCGATCACCCGATGGATATTTTCCAAGATTATACGATCCACTCCCGTATATATAGTCTGTAATTTTTACGAATAAATCATGTGTGATATAAATATACTGGTATTCACTCTTATCCAACTAACTATCTGAAGTCACTCATCTGACACAAGTTTTATATACATATACACAATTTGTGCTCGACATTTACTTCAGACCTACAAACAATGGCAGCTTTTGTGGAGACACAACAATATGAAACCTCATCAGAATCTTGAGGGTGACACAGAAAATATCACAAAAACTGAAATCCAGAGATACAAAAGAAAAAAGTGGACCTCATTCAATCAATTCATAAAACTTCAGTTTGGAATATGGAAAAAAACTTTGTTTAATATTGAATCAGAATGGAAAAATGGATTTTGCAATTGTCTAAACTTTTTAAAAGAATATATTTGCAAACATATAGTTGGCATGTCAATTCGATTGAAGTTTTGCAAACCACCTCCAGCAGCAAAGGACGTATCGTTGGGGAAAAAAGAAAAAGGGGACGACTACGAAAAGCAACTAAAACATTGCTAATCGATTAACTGTTCAATCAATTTTTTTACTTAGATATTCTGTATTTATTACTTAGCAAAAATTAATTTTTTACTTTGCAAAAACTATTTATTTACTTAGCATTTTCCAACATTTTACTTAGAAAACTAAATGTTTTTACTGAGAATTTAAATAAATTACTTCGCAAAAATGATTTTTTTACTTAGATTTTTAATCACTAAATTACTTAGGAAAAATAGAATTTTTTACTTAGCATTTATATTTTTTTACTTAGCACTTAAATATATGCCGTAAATTATGCTAGTTTTGTTTACACCCCTTCAAAAAAGTAAAAGGTATCAGAAAGTCAATAATTATATGAAAGGATACCTCTATCCTAGTATACATAATTAGTCTTAATCAACTCTGTAAATGATAAATTATATCAATAAAATCGATCAGAACAATATGTGACATTTATAAAGTCATTTTTTTCATCATAAGGTAGTATCTTTGTTCCTACTACCTACACACGAATTTTTTGCAGTCAAAATCGAAACAAAATATGTTTCTACACACTTTAGACTATGCCCTATAAAATGGTGATAATAAGTTCTCGAAGTAGTGAATTCGAACTCTCGACCATGAAGGTGACGCGTTACGCGTTTAAGCCGATATGTATAATCTATCCACCCACCACACCCACACCCTCAAAATTCCACTAAAATGGTTATAACTCTGGATAGAAGACCTATGCGTACTTATCATTTTGAGGTTTTTGGATACGTCACTGAGGTGTACTGTATGCACAAACACTGAACTCAGAAGCGATTTATTAGTTGCCTCGCCTTCCTTCTGAGACATTACTTATAGATCGGGAAATCCTATATTATAAATATTCTCCTAGTGTGAACCTTGCAGATCCACGGATGGCTCTGTAGAATATCACTTGCAGATGGAAAACTACTTTCATAGGATAGCTTTTTATAGCTCTTCAGTGTTCTCATAAAATGAGTCACGAGGACCGATGAATATCTTATAGTGTACACTTTGAGAACTTATGGATGCTGTTACACGATAGGTGTGGAAGACTAGTGGATATCCAGAAGAAGAGTCCTGATAATCTGTAGTAATCTGCGTTAGCTTTCGTGAACTGAATCTATGAGAAGTGCCAGTGTGTCTGATATCGATAATCGTGGTTCAATTTTGTTAACTTTTCTAACTATAAGTGATTCTACATCATCTCAGTGACTCCATATAACCGACAGAATCGGATGGAATCTGTTAGAATTATTAGGGTTATGGAATCTTGGAATCGGCTTTTGCCCCTTTAAGAAAGAGAGATTTATCTATTTCGTATAAGTTCTTCTGAGTCAATAACCTACCTTCGGAAGAGAATGACGTTGGGTAAACAAGTAGTAGAATCGAAAGACTAAAGTAAAGTGCTTACATGGATCAGTCAACCTACTTTTATACCGTAATGTGACAGCCATCTATAGATACATAGAAAAATCCAATGGGAAAGAAATATCACATACACACATACGTCATTATCCCGAAAGAAATCATCAGTGGAGATTTCCAACAAGATCATCCATGGCTAAGAAAAATCCAACAAGAGTTTATTATCATAGTGGATTAGAAACAGTGACACAATAACTGTGTACATGAGGGAAATTTCTTCCACTACTCTTAGATGTATGTTACTCTTGTTCTTTCCTTAGTATATGACGAAGAGAAGAGAAAGAAAGAAAGAAAGAAAGAAAGATAAAATAATGTTATTCTTTTTCGCTTCCTTCATTTTTTTTCTCTGTACTATCGAAGATCTATCAACAGTACAAGAGCAATGACAACATAGTACAGGGAAAACAAAAAGGAGGAAAGGAAAGAACAACATTGTTTTATCTTTCTTTCTTTCTCTTCTCGTCGTCATATACTAAGGAAAGAACAAGAGTAACATACATCTAAGAGTAATGGAAAAAATTTCCCTCATGTACACATTTATTGTGTCACTGTTTTCTAATTCGATATGATAATAAACTCTTGTTGGTTTTTTCATAGCCAGGGATAACGCTGTTTGAAATTTCCACCGGTGATATGCTCTCTCTCTCGATAATGACGTGCGTGATATTTCTTTCCCATTGGATTTTTCCACGTATCTATAGATAGCTATTAGATTACGGTATAAAAGTAGGTTGACTGATACATGTAACCACTTCACTTGAGTTCCTCGATTCTACTACTCGTTTAACCAACATCATCCTCTTCCGAAGGTAGGTTATTGACTCAAAATTATCTTGTATGCAATAAGTAAATCTGTCCTTCTATTTTCCATAGTTCCGTTCACTTATTCACTGATTTCTGTCTGCTAACATAATGAATAACATGAAGTGCATGTTTATGCTGATGCTCCTTCTTGTGGTTATATCAATGATGACGTGCGCCCCGGCGCATGGCCACTACCGTTATGGCGATGGCTTGGTTCACTACGGTGGAATCAATGGTGGCCGTGGCCATGGTCATTTTCCTTGGGGTTCTCCGTATGCGACTGGAAACTGTCAGTGGGCTGGAAATCATTTGGTGTGTTTTTGACGTCGAAAACGTGACTTGTTAGAACAGGCTGGTCGTCTTGACAAGAAGGAATCAATTAACCATTTTTAAAGAACTGTTCCCTTTTCTCCTTTTTATTTATTATATACGAGAACTAATAAATATTTAACTATTATACTCTTATATCTATGTATTCATTCTACTCTTCATAACCCGAGAACATTCTCATAGAAGATCGAAACGAAGGTAGAAAAAGGTCAAAGAAAGAAAGCGTGATAAAATTAATCTGAAAATAACTTGAAGAAATTTGAAAATGGTGCACATGGACTATCTAACTTCATTTTCATCACTCATATCAAGTAAAAAACCGGAAAAAAGACATAACATCCGAATTTGGTCACAATCATATTTGAGAACGATTGCATGATAGTTATGAGAATAAATGTTTTTCGTGAAACTCTCCATTTTGAGAAACGAAAGTTGTGAGTGAACTTATGAAAAGTACAAATTTGTAATACATTTTCCGCGCCAGATTCAAATGATCTCTCAAAAGCGCTCGTTTATTTTGGTAGTGAATGTTGCTGACATGAGCAGTTTATTCGGCTGAAGAGTCTCGTAACTTTCTGAGCCTTTTTACATAAGAAGGGTATGATGTCACAACTGACATGGGAATTCATTTGAAATTGGAATGCGCTAAATAATAAATAACCGTGGAAAAAACCAAGAAAAAACTTTACAATAGGAAATGTTTATCATATAAAATAAGATCTATTGAAAGAATTGCTTACAAACAAACATATATTCAATCAGTTGTATGAAAATATATTGACATTTTTTCGTTTTGCTTTTTAAATTACAAAGACAAAGATTCTTTTGAGATGGTGCGCTTTGTTGAATGTTTTGTTTCATTAAATGTATGAATCATATTGGTAATTAATCTATTTTTTTTAACTTATATGAAATGCGATCTAGAGTGGTTTGGTGTGGATATGGGTGAAGGTTAATCATCTTTCATCGCTCACTCACACCTACACACACACCCAAAGTACCATCGAAAGAAACAGATAGTTTGACGGAAAAAAACACGTTTCATTATGTCGATAAAGAGAGAGTGAGAGAAAATACCAGTGGAAAATTGAGTGGAACAAGGAAAAGTCGGAAAGAGATGGTTATCATATCAAATTATAATGACTCACTAACTATGTGTTCTTTTTCTTTATTTCTTTGTCATCATCTGGTGAGGAAACAACCGGAAGCGGAACTTTGTTGGAGTTTTCCACTCACAAATAGTGAGTCATCAGAATTCGATATGATAATCATCTGTTTTGGCCTTTTCTTTAACACAGGCAACTTCCTACCGAATTTCTTCCTTTTTATCGAGATCATGACGTGTATTTCACTGGGTATAATCGTTCTGTTACTTCCTATTATGCTTTCTTAGTTTTCACATTATGTTTGCTTTGACTGTCTGATGGGATATTAAAGTAGCTTAGTTTATTGGTAAAAACACTAGTTTTATCTACTGCTCTGCTTATAATACGTGTAATAGTACTATCTCTGCTCATTTCGCTATCATCATCTTCGAAAAGAGAGTCATTGGCTTTGAAGAATAAGATGTAGTATTAGTATTAAGAAAACCTTATCATAAAATGATGTTTTTTAAAAATGACACACGACTCAGGTCTGCTTGACTCCATAATTTTCTCCATGAGTGAACTTGGCTTTTGACTTGAGACAATCCCGACGCGTGTACTTCTGATTTTTCACTCGTCGATGTCATTTATTTGTTTTGCTCGCCATGTTTTATCAATATGTACATTTTTGTAGAAAAGAAATTCTATCCTTATATTAAATCGATACAACAAATGTTAGAAAAACTGACGCTAAAGAATATTATAAAAATATGGAAAAGAGCACTAGAAAAGATGGAAATATCCTACAATACAAATTATTTTCGTAAAAAAAAACATATGACACACTAAATTTGTATGTTTTTCATATAGAAAAAGAGAATTACTTCATTAGAATTGCACATATTACTTTTTTCATATGAATAAGAAATAGTAGGATTTAGCGAGAATTTTCCTAATACATGATAGTAAGTCTTTCTAACACACACACTAGCTCTCTCCCTATGTCACATGTGTCATATTTATAAAAAGAATATGAGTTAGTGTTATTCAACCATGTTAGATATTGCGTTATGGTAGTTATCACTTAGAATGCTTATGAGAACTTTCGAATTGTTATCGAGTATGTAGTCTTTTAGTTGTAAAAGGTAAGTTTGCCAATAACTTTCTGACGAGTAAATGACTATAAATATATGATCGAAAAGATCCTTTAACTCTATGACTATGTCAACGAACAAAACAGTCTCACAATCTTAAGTCAGTTTTGTTATACACTATTGATCGGTAAACACTGAGAATGTCAATATTAGTTTCTTCTGTTTAGATCAAATTTCACCATCGAAAATGACCAAATCAACGACATTGCTGATTGCTCTTGTTATTCTTTTAGCACTGTTAGTTTTTATGCCTGATCCAGCTGAAGCTAGTTACTGTTATGAACGTTGTTCGAAACATGGTTATTGGCATGGAGTTCAAAAATACGCTTACTGTATTTGTTATCACAAAATGAAACGAGACACGACATCAGCAGCAGCAACAGCCGCAAAAGTTTGAGAACACATGTACTAGTCATTGTAAAAGTTCAGCTCCAAACGTTTCGACTGCCAGCTTCTATTAATTTGATAAGTCAACACGAGTTTCTTGTTTTGATGTATGATAATAATCAAGAAAAATGAGGAACAAAATAAATAAGAATGTTTTTTTCTTTCTTTAAATATAAGTATGGCTTATGATTAATTAGAAGAATAACAAAAAGCAGAGACACAGAAGAAATAAAAAGAGCAAAATAATTAATTGTCCAGCCGATGAATAATGTGAGATCTTCCGGGTAAGCAAGGCTTTCTGGACGAATGATTTTCTCTGTTTTTTGTTATCAAAGGACAAGAGTTTGCTTCGTAAAAACGAAAGAAAGAAAAAGAATTGATAAATGAAGTAAGGCTTCATGTTTTCAGAAAATGGACCTCGTCGCTATTTCTTTTATCAATCATCATACTGATGGATGCAGTAATGCTGAGCCGGGTATAGATCATCAAGGTAATAAATATGATGGTAATAATCGCGGTTGTCCTGAGATCCGCATACTTTCTCTCGATAACCTGGTCACTGAACATAAGGAGACTAATGGTAATGATGATCGCCTAGCCAACATGAGGGTGGGTGTGGGTGAGAGAGAAATAATTACACCCACACTCTCTGCTCTGCTTCGACCGCTTTTTGACCTCTTCATTCTGTACTATGATGGTTTTTATATAGTATCTAACATAGCGTCTCTTAACACGACGCGTCAATTTATTCATTTTTCAATCTTGTAATCAACTAGTTCACGGTTTGAATCACTTGTTAATTATTGCCTATAGCCAAGTGACTCCATGTTATTGTTTTGCTATTAATTCAAATATAAATACGAACTATTTTCGTTCTAGATATTAATTTATCATTGTATTTATTTTTGAGAGATTTAAAAATGGATTATTCAATTTAATAAGATTTATCTCGAACATAGAATTATAATCATGATATCATATAAAAAAAAACAAGCAAAATTCTATTGAACATAAACTAGAATGAAAAGTTTTATACTTACAAAACCTACATTTGACAAATGCCTTTACATAATATTCATTGTATATAGTTTTTTATCAAAATTTCAAAATAAAATAAATTATTTTAATTCTACTGAAACACGTTTACTACTCTGTTCAAGTTGAATAACATTCGCATGTGTTGAAGGTAACAAATGTTGATAAATATCTGATGCTCGTTCAAGATAAACAAGTGCTTGTTGATATTCATTCTTATCTTCATAAATACTACTAATATTGCTAAGTGTTATAGCAATATCAGGATGTTGAGATGGATGACATTTTTCATAGATTTTCAATGAAAGATTATAATATTGTAATGCTTGGTTATGATGATTAAGACATAAATGAATATTACCAATACTTCCATACGGTGAAATTAAATCTGAATGATCAGTGGGAAAATGTTTTTGAAAAGTAGCCAATGCTTTTTCTACACATTCTAATGCTTTAGAATATTTCTTTTCATTTCGATACACATTACTTATATTATTAAGACATATAGCAACATGAGGATGATCTTCACCAAAAACTTCTTTCCAAATAGTCAATGCATTCTCATATGATTCTAATGCAAGATTATAATTACGTTTGTGTTGATAAATAATAAGCAATACTATTATGAATAAGAACTATATTTGGATCATTTAATTTTAATATTCATATAAATATTTCAAGTGATTGATTGTACCATATTAAACTTGATTCATAATCACCTTTATCATCAGCAACAAGACCTAATGCATGATAACAAAGTGTTTTATTTGAATCATTATATGAAAATGTATTAAGATAAAAAATGATAATATTTTTCAGCATCATCTAATTTACTCATCTTTCGTAATAGACGACTAAAGACAAGAATATTTGTTTCTCCACTATCGAATTCATTTTTCATATGTTGAAAAAGTGTTTCTAATCTATGTTCATGTTCAAAACATAATACCATTCGACTATTCCATATTCCTTCATTATCACATTCAAAACTCTCAAGTCGAAAAATAAATTCAAGCATAAAAAGAACTTCTTCTTCTGAAAAATAACTTAATGAATGAATTTTACTAAAGGCTTTCAATTTATCTAATCGAGAATCAGCATTGATTTCAAAAAAAACTTGTTCAATATCATCGATGATCTTATCCTTAGAAGAATAAAGAAATGCTCGAGCTTGTTCATAATTAAGACTAGTAGAAAAAAATGAATTTATTGATATAAATTCCCCAATAGAATTTTTTAATATCTGAATTTCATCTTTTGACATTTGTTGTGCTCGATAAACTAGTATTGCCACTAAACATTTATTATTTTCTAATTCATGACCAATATCATCAATATTTTATACTCGTAATGCTTTATTTAATAATCGATAAAGAAAATATCCATATGTATACCATCATATAGCTTGATTTGAAGAATAATTTTTAGTAAATTCTTCAGTAAGATTTAATTCAATAGAATTATTTATATAAAATTGTTTACAAAAATTAACTCATTCTTCTTTATTATTTGTGTTTATTTTCATTCAAATAAGACAATTAATTAATAAATGAAAATGAATAAATTGTTCATTTGAACTAATTGTTGATTGTCCTTCTTTATGAATATTTGATTT